TCTCAGTTAGTTCATCACGACTTTGCACAGAGAGCAAAAGGAATATTGTACAATCTGAATTGAGGAATAATATCTGAATCACCTTCTAAAGGTTCCTCTGGTTCAAACACAAACAGGTTTCGGAAACGCTGCAATGCTGAGGCGAAGCAGTATCATAAAGGAAGCTGATGATTCTGACCTCCCAGCTTTCCCAGGCTGATTCTCCTCAGATGCACCATGTGCTGTGGAGGCTTTTGTCACCTCCATCGTATGCTTTCATCTCCATGTAGCCTGCAAATCTCTAGTAAAACTGGTTTTATTTTATATCGATTCAAGGTTGCTATTATTCTTACTAGACAAACTGACAGATTGAATACAAGAATGGACATATACAGTATTTTACAGTATATATATATATCCATCCATCCATCCATCCATTGTCCAACCCGCTTATCCTACTGGGTTGCGGGGGGTCCGGAGCCTATCCCAGAAGCAATGGGCACGAGGCAGGGAACAACCCTGGACGGGGGGCCAGCCCATCGCAGGGCACACTCATACTGTGTGTATGTGTGTGTGTGTGTGTGTGTGTGTGTATATGTGTATGTATATATGAATATGAAATATATATATATATATATATATATATATATATATATATATATGAAATCATATTATATTACCATGGGAAACAGCATTCTTAATTCATATAACAGAAAAAATAATGCTGGAAATGGGTCCTTACACTTTTGCCACACAGTCTGGTGTATGGCTTGCGTGTTAGCAAAGGTCAGAGACTGACCCCTATAGGTGAGGCTGCAAAATTCCCTTTAACAAATTAAACAAAGCTACAGGACAGCACATTCAGGAATTTTCACCGTTAATATTACTATTACTGTCTGTGAAATGCATGTGGATATAGAAAAAATGAATTTATTATGCATTAATAAATCTGCATAACTACACACAATACCACCTGACTCAGCTACAACCTCTTTCATTTTGGATTTAAAATCAATACTTCAGATCATCTACAGTACATGTACATTCTATTTATTCATATAGCATGTACATTCTATTTATTTATATAGCATGTACATTCTATTTATTTATATAGCAGACATGTTTGTCCAAAGTGACATAAGTGAGGCAATAGTACGTTTCAGTACTTCAAAACATCTATTTTTGTAAAAACCAAGTTCAGTAGCCTTTAAATAAATAGGAACTCATGCTGATAAGGTTGGACAAATAATTCCTGTGTTGCTCAGTTTCCACCATGGGTTCACTGGGGCAGTTCTGTTTTTCTTCCAAAAATACAAGTACTATGTTTGGATGTTTAGAAATTTATTTGAACTGACAAACTGGAGTACTGCTACAATAAATGTCCATCCATCCTTCCATCCATCTATCCATCTATCCATCCATCTTTTTTCTGTACCCGCTTGTCCTTAAAAGACAAATACACCAAATGAAAATTTTCAAACTGAACATATTTCACTGTCCCAAGCCGATATCAATGATCGGAATCAGGGCCAATCAAGGCATTTTTTAATTGATCAGTATTAGCCACCACAGCTCGATCCAAAGCCTGATCTTTTCAATTTCCCACATCCTCATAATTTATGCCAATAACACATGTTGTAAGGTTCCGTCACATGCTGCAGTAAGCCTGAGGGACAGGAGTTGAAACTACAAACTATCAAAATGTCAGCCGTCTTTTGAGAGCATGCAGCAACAGGGCGTAGTTTAATACAACAAATGTAATTAGGCATTTGCAAAAACACGTTTTGTTTGATTTTGAGATTGTGATACTCAGATAAAAAAATACACCAACGCCTACTGCATGTATACAGTATGTAGTATATTTCAATATTTGTTAAAAAATCGGGACTCAGAGTCATCAGATATAAATATTGAATGAATCGGATTGGGGTACCAAAAAGTATCAGGACATTCCTTTTTCCTTGCATTTAAAGTAAATTATATTACATACATTAATATAGACAACAATAGATGGATAGAAAGAAAGAAAGAATGAATAATCCTAACACTACCCAGGAAACACATGCCCCAAGGAAGACGAACATGTTGGACAGGATGCAAGTCCATCACAAGGCCACACAAACTAAACATTTACAATTACACACTATGGCCAATCCAGAGACACCAATTTGCCTAGTCACATGTTTTCTGATCGGAGGTAACAGTACTACACCCACTGAGCATTAAAATCCACAACGTTTATTCTCTGCTGTCACTGTGTTACTTGTAACTCCTATGGTGTTGCAGAAAATATTACAATGTGAAATTCATCTTAAAATATATAATCTAAACCCCTATATTTTACATGCATCCTTATCATTTTGAAGAAATTGTTAGTACAAATGACAGAAAATAATCAGCTGGATTTCCTTTTTTAAATTATTATTTTTAAATTATTTATGAAAACTGTGATGACCATAACATCCTTCTGTAATAACTTTAAAGCCAAATTAATGGGTTGAATGCTTCTACAGATCAAAATCCCTTCATGTGTTCAGATAAAGGAAAAATTGGAAATAAACGTTCACTTATTGAAGGATCTTGCCTTATAATTATGTTTGCATCAAAACAATTATTACATGTGGATCGAACCTTAGTCATGTATAAAATAAGTATAGCATATTAGTCCTATTTATCATGGATAGTACACGTGGCTCATTTATAAATGAACAATACAAAGTCTGATAGGATGAAAGACCAATCCAGATTTCCGCTGATGTTGAACTTATTGTGGAAGTGGAGAAAAGTTCAAGGTCGATGACTTTCCAGTCAGAGTCTAATTTAGTTTTGCATTGGGTCCATTTTGGGTTCTGGCAAAGGCCATTAAATCTAAAAATGAACAAATGGTGTCACTGACTCCAATGGTGTCCAGAAGAGCAAAGGTTAATCCTGGCTATGGTACATATCCATGAGCTGTAACAAATAAAACATGAACTCTATACTCTTCACAAGAGATCACAGAGAGCCCATTTTAGGGAACTTCAAGCCAATTGCCTGTGATGTTTTTCATCTTGAATACTACTTCTCACTGTACAGAAAAATACCAGCAAACACACTTTAATTTTAAATCTCATTGCATTCCTGTTTTGAACCCTGAAGGACTAAAAAGGCAAAAGGGAATATTTCATTGGTTTTGATGTTAAACAGAAATTATTCCAGAGGCCTAATATGAAAAATATATGTAATATGTAAAATGCAACAGAATAAATAAAAAAATTGTACAATGGAGCAAGATACACAATGGAGCACTGAAACACAAATGCATTCAGTGTCACACATACTGTACCACCAAGGCCAACACCATGGGGAATTCTGACAGAGCCTACATTGATTTTTAATTTCAATCATAACATTTTACCATGATCACAGATGGGATGGACACATTTCTCTGTGTACCAACAGGTTGACAATTCCTGTGTACCACAAGTAGTTTCTCAAGGATCACAAATTTGATGCTACTCCAATTGGATTCTCAAGGAAAAGGAAAAACTATGGATTGAATAGTGATTTGGGGAAGCCAACCTTTGTCAATGAGTGCACTGTGATGAGTTACAGAAGTGGTTTTCAACGTTTTTTGCACTGCAACCCAATTTTTACCACGCCAGCTCAGTTGCGACCCTATTTCAAGTATAGTTTTAAATTAACGCTATGATCAAGCATGCAGTGCACTCTCCAATTTGTGCTAATCAATGCCTATCACACAAATCTGATTGGATTGGTTGAGTGTTATTAGTTTTGCGTTAAGTATTTCCAGACCTAAACTGTATTTCATTGCCTTGTATTTATACATGTGTAATGACAATAAAGTTGAATCTAATCTAACCTAAGACCCATTTATATAGGTTAATTCTAGGATTGGGGCTGGGAGATCTGATGGTGGATCAGCATAGGAGCTTGCTGGTTTTAAAATGCTTACATTTCCAACTCTGCATTGTGAGCCTTTCAGAACCCCCTTTAATCTGACGTACCTGTTTGGACTAAAAATTCAGCAGAAACCATCACCCTTAGGTCAAACCCTGCCCAAATGCCCAATTAAAGTAGACAGAGCAAAAACAGTGTGATTCAGATTTGTTTTTGAGAACGTAACCGTAAAGTCAAAGGAATTTACAGGGAATTTATATCCTGCATGAAATGCATACTTTCCAGAAGATAATGAGGATGTAGCTTTGCCAGTGGTTACAGACTGGTAGTACAGTTGGAATTTGCAGAGTAACTACACTGAAGGGTTTTTAAATTTACCACATGGCAAGCTGCATCACTAATGCAATTTAATTTGTTTCATCAGACAGTTTGGAAATCTAATGAAAGAATATGGTGACAGGGACCTGTATAAAGAAAGAGAATACTGTCCAGTATCCACAGTAAAACTTTGGATACCCTTTTTGTCTCTGGAAGTCTCACCCAGGCCAAAGGTCAACAATTTTCCCAATTTGAAATTTTTGCTTTCAAGCCTCAATATTTTCTAGCCACTGTCACCTAGGTTATCACAGTGAAAAAGTAAAAGACGATGTGGTCTGAGACAGCTGGGCAATGGGAGCAGAGGCAGTGTCAGCAATGATAATATGCTACCACGTAATACACCCTGATAATACACTACTACATAATACACCCTGATAATACACTACCATACAATACACCCTGATAATATACTACCAAACAATACACCCTGATAATACACTACTACATAATACATGCTGATAATACACTGCCATAGAATTTTGTAAAAAAATACTTGACCTGGATGTCAATAGCTGCAAACACATACCTCAGAGCAAGCCCATCAGGCAATTTTAAAAACCAAATGCTGCTATTAATTAATTTTGTTAAACACTCAAATTCCTTTGGTCACTGCCACATTTCACCCTCAACTTCCTATTATGACATGCTAGTTATATCTTGACTATTCAGTTATGTTTTCAACATTCATATTAACCATGAAAAGTAACTTGTCAGCCTAATAATTACTGAAGAAGGCTTCTTACCTGAGTTCCAAGGCAGGCCACCATCATGTGGGTGAGAAGTTTGGCAGCAAACATGGAGAATCGGGAGCACAGAACATGGGACAGGATGGCCAGCACAAACCCTGGAGACAGCAACACAAAACAAGCATAAAGCCATTTAAAAGCAAACTATTCCGATAAATACACATTTATTTGGGGGAGGGTGACTAAACAACATTTTAGGGGTGTCAAGCCCCTCTGAAGAAGGCCTGATACCTCCGACTCAGTCAGGAAACTAAGGAAATTCTCACCTGAGATGCAGATGAAACCGGATGTATAGAAGGCCTCGTTGTAGGTGGAGAGCGAGCTGGTCTCTGCAAAGGCCGTGTAGATTGAAAAGTGGGAGCAGGCACACTCAACAAAATTCCCACTATCGTCCACCACCCGACAGAACTGGTCATCCGACAGCCAGCTGAGGATTATAAACCATATCAGTGAGCTGCACTTAAAAACAGCAACCTCAACCTGAACACTCCATGAACACCTTTACATAAAACAATCAGCATTATGTCTTTTTAAGATGATTTCTGGAATCTTGACAGTCCCAATAACCATTCTCAGTCTCTGCTTGATTATGATACATTTCCCTCAACATAAAATAATAAAATAAGCTTACATATGCTTTTTCTGACCATGTAACTTTTCATAATTCAAACACTCGAAATGTCACAAGAGTAAAATGACTTGGAATGTAATTTTAGGAAATTATAGGATGGTTGGAATACTAAAGTAAGCTCACGCATTGTGGATCAGCTACCTTTCTGCAGCCTGGTTCCACAGAAGACACAGAGAACGCTGAGGTCTAATGCGCTGGTTGGTGGCGTGGATGCGGTAGACAACTTCATTGTCAAGGAGAGGACGTGATCTGTGTTCCAAAAGGCTAACAGAAAACACCTGCAGCAAAAAGAATTAAAAATGACGGGTAATGTGTGTTACTCACCACCTACTGCCTCCTACAGCCTAAAGCAGCCGTCAACGGGGGCATACCTAGAAATTATGGACCCCCTGACAAAATGTTACCTTGGCCCTCTGGCCCAGTTTTACATATTCAAGGGCCCCTATCAAGTGCTGGGCCCCCTGAATCTGTCAGGGTATCGAGGCCCCTCTGACACTCCTAACTGTGTGCTATATGCTCCTTGAGAAAGAATATTTCTTGATGAAATTTGAATTAATTATAATTAACTTTATAAATAATAAAAAAAGGGTTTTAAAATGCTTTTACAAATTCCACCTAAATTTGTGCATGTATACAGTGTAATATAACATATACTCTAACAACCATTACATATTAAACAATAATGATGTATACATATTTTTGCTGTTTGCTTGCCTTGTCATTGAGTGCCATGGTCCTGCTGTTGGTAAGGAACCAATGCTCAGTGCTGTACTCTGTGAACTGCACCTTCTGGCAGGCAGATGGGGTGATGCGGCCTAGCGACAGGGCTGGCACCTTCAACAGAGATACTGGTAGCTGGAAGTAATCTCTATTCTTTCCTGGAAAGGTGTGCCCATTGATCTGAGTAGGGTACCAGTGGTAGGCAGCAATGGCTATGTATGGACAACTGTCCCAGACCGTCCTGCCCCTGAAACAAGACAATACACACCCTGGATGCAAATAATGTCTGTCATTTCCATAGTGACTGCATTTTCTGCATAATTTTTGTTCCATGATTAACTTTAACTTTAGAATATATCCATTACACAGTATATTACGCATAAATATTTATGACTGATTCAAAGAAAGGGTTGTTTTAATTACTATTGCCACAAATGATATGGCACAAAAATGCCCCTTTTCTGAAACGGACAGAGAAAAGAATTTTTTTGATGGAAGACAATCTTGAGAATCCGTTAAGTTTTGAAGTGCTTTAAAGACAAAGCACTTTGCGTGACTTTGTTAACCTTTGACAGGAGGTGCAAACAATGTGCATCAGCACAGCCTGGACTGACCTCTGGCCCTGCGATCCACACTCGACACCTGTGAGGAGCGAGAAGGCGAAACGCTCTGCCACCTCAGCTAGCTGACTCAAGCCACGCGTGTCCAGGCGGCTAGGATTGGCCAGTGCGCACAGGAGGTTGTACGTTAGCCCCCTGCTGCTGTCTGCCAGAGAGGTCTGCTCTGCCTCTTTCAGAACCTGGAAGAGGGAGAGGGGTCAGAACTAGTGATACTCTCCATAAAGAGCTTGCTAAAGAGCTTGCTAAACACGCAAGGGAATAGCGTTCACAAATGGCAAATGTATCATACTTAAAACCCTTTGCATGGGGAAAGCAACCTGACTTCATTGAAACGCATGAAAAAATGCATTTTAGGGCGACATTTTTAGAAAGATTACAAAGTCTTTGTTTACGTTTTCTCAGTTTATAGCAAACTCACAGCACAAATCCAGAAAAGCTGTCTATTTTGACTATTTCCAGTAGGGCATTGATATTATTTAAGTAGCAAAAGGGTCTGTGCATAACTATACTAATTTATTCCATACAGAGGATTTTCCGTGTCCCAGACTGTAACAGCCCTGCAGTTCAAATTACTTAATTTAATATTTTTGGTTTCTTTTTTCATATTGTACAGCAAAAAAGTCTAAATTCTTGTTGTGAAGGTGGAAAAAAACATCTTTTAGCTGGTGCCTTTATTTATGTTTGCTGTTGCAAGGCTCTTGCTAGTGCACAAGAATATTTCAAAGAATTAATATATGTCTGTCCTCACTCCAGAGGAGCAAGTGCGTGAGGTACTACTGGATTTTAGGGAAATCAAACACAGATTATGGTAGTGTATTATCAGATACATCCGGCTGTAATTAATTGTAAGGCACATCTATAACAACTAAGCAGTTGAAAACTCATCAATCCAACTTGAAAGGCTTTGAATCCATTGAAATCTGTCATTCAGTATGCCTCTAATGATGCCTTCAATGCTCAAGAACAGGCCTTTAAATACAGCCTACATGTGAGAATCCATATATACCTCGTATTACTGTGTCAGTAAAGCCTAATGCTAAAAAGCACTATTTACTATATTAAAAAATAATTCATTGCTATGATACAAAACAGCATACATGCTAAACTCATAATAAATGTTCACAGAAAATGTGTTCCAAAGATTTACATTACTAAAGATCTCAATGTTGGGCATTCACCTTGCTCAATCCATCTAGCACAGCAGTAAGTTGCTCAAGGGTGACCTCCATGGAGACCTTATTAACAAGGCCCTGCAGAACACGATCAATGATAGTGACATCCAGTGGCTGCTGCAGCTGATCCAGCAGTGCCCAGACTGCTTGTGTCTCAGAATCTGACACCACAGTCACATTGGCAACCCCAAACTCAGGATGCACTCTGGCGCCACCTGTGGCCTCTGACAGCAGCACCTGGAGGCGCTTAGGTAGAGGATTGGATGATGCCGAGTCGGGTGTAAGCACAATATCCAGGAAAGTGCTCCTTTGTCCTTGCTCAAAAGATAATCTACCCTCTGCCATTTCAAAGTCCATCCCTGCAACGGCAGGCCAAATAAGAGATGGACCCACTGCTTCGGCTCTTTGGAGCTCCTGCCGAATTGAGCACAGACAGCAATATCAGCAGTCAAGTATGATAAATGCTAGTAATGTAGAACAACAACACCACATACGTCAAACACATTAGATGAAAATATTGTTAGACTTGGTGATAGCTGTTAAATGCCATACAATCCTATTGATGTCGTGGTCTGAAAAGCAAAGATTACTTCATACATGGATTGACCCTTTATTTTCAAATGTGGAACATAATAATCAGCGAGTATAGTTTGTGCCCGACCCTCACCTGCAAACGGTATTGCACAGAAACGGTAGAGAGGGTGCCGCTATCTCGAGACACCTGCAGACTGAGACGGGTAGCTTTCTTGTGGACCACTGGCAATCGGGAGCCCAAGGCAAAGTATACCAAGCCCAAAGGATCATCGCTTTCCAAAATGCTTATGTTTGCAAAGCGGGCATTCTGGTTGATGGCAGCCCCTAGGCCAACTTGGTAAATCTCCACCAGGAACCAAGACTGGTATTCTGGCTCCTAAATGTACATGTGGAGAGAAGCAACAGGCTTCTTGAGCCATACTGACAACAATGAAGGATTTATGAAAATCAAGACAATTACTCTGCACTGAAAACCTAAGAAGCCATTCATGGGCTCGATATTGCATCTGCTTGTAACGACGGAGAAGGGAGCTTATTAGGGAGACCGTGATTGGTACGGTAAATTTGGTATGAAGAGTGGTTATTCCCTGTCAACACAGATAAATGAGACGTACCTGGTCATGACGGATCTCTAAGGTGAAGGTACACAGCACCTCTCCCTGTCTGCAGAATGCAGTGCCTGAGGTGTGGAGGAGTTCCTTCGTCAAATCGACACCATCTTTTATTAAAGATGGTACAGATGTATTGAAAGTAGCACGCCAAAGTATGGCAACATCTTCAAAGGCCCTATGCGACAAAAAAAGTAAATAAAACAACAGTACAAAAAAACATAACACATTCTAGAGGACATACACACTTATTGCTTAATATATGAACAAGCCTCGGTCCTATTTCACTATACTAATTAATTCCTAAGTCTTAAAAATACCTATTCTCCTGTCTTTGGAGGACAAGTATGGTGGTTCTGTTTTCAGAGTCTTCATCCAGAAAAAGGCCCCTCTGTGAGTCTGCACTGAAACCCACAATGCCATTCTGAAAGTCACTTCCTGAAACAAAGATCGTTTGCATGATTAAAACAACTCCACTGTGGAAAGATATGTAATCTTTAATATACATGACAAACGAACTGTGACTCCCAGCATTAAGATCATTAAAGTCTGTTTCAGCATATTTGTCTAGGCTGTCCTAACATATGGTGTTTGTTCAGTACCTGAATATAGCTCTGGAAAACGTAAGAGACCACAGCACAATTTTTTGGACAGGGGTGGCAAACCTGATCCATGGAGGGCCGGTGTGGGTGCAGGTTTTTGGAATGACCTCTCAATCAGCCAATAACAGTGGCTCCTCAGGACTGGAGTTGAGAACTATTGGTTTACTATTGGCTGATTGAGAAGTCACTCCAAAAACCGCACCCACACTGGCCCTCATTGGGTCAGGTTTGCCACCTCTGTTCTAGGAGCCTGATGAAGACTGTCCTAACAGTGCACTTCACACCTGCACATAGTGTTTCCCTTTCCTTTTGAAGGTCACTTGATGTCAACCTCTGATTCATGAGAAACTATGACAGTTAAGTTGACAGTCATCTCTGCCATTAGAAAGTTACTTAGAAATTCTGAGCCTGGAATAAACCTGCCAATGTAGCCTTCTGCCAGCTGAATCATGGTTAAACATGATTTAAAAACTGCAGATTTTTTTTTTTTATATGGAGTGGTGTCTTAATTTTTTCAGCGCTGTAAGTGCTATATAATAAATTCACCCTTTTTTGGAAATTTTTACATTGCAGTATTCTTAAAAGCCCCAAAGGCACACAAATAATGAAAGGGGAAAATAATTAATTTGAAATTACCTTGAATAATAATTTTGGCGAAGGCGGCGAACCCTTGGTCATCGGCATCCCTAATGATCTGTGCCCCTCCCTCGGGGTCAGTGAGGTAGACAAAGAAGACCTCCTGTCCCTCTGGCTCAAGGTCATCCAGAATGACCAGGATGACCTCTGCCACCTCTTGGCCCTCCTGGAGCGATATCACAGTAGACTCCAGCTGGAAGTCCTCACCTTCTAGGGCCCATGTCACATTCGACTCTGGAACAAAAGGGGTGCCACCCAACCCAGCTTCCAAACTTTTACCCCCATACGCTCTGACACTGACCATTATGGTTCCTGTGAAGCCAGCTGACCTTCTCACCCTCAGCGATATCCTCTGCTGCTCTGTATCATTAATACTGTCTTCTCGCACATACAGGAGTGCTGGCCCAATGCTAAGAAGACCACTAGCCATGTCATTGTCCAGAATGGTAATAGCGGCACTGCTAAGTCCAGGAATAATCCTGGGTTGGGCTTGGGCTGAGGGAGGACTCAGGACCTGGGCACCAGTCAGGTTCACATAGAAGGTCTCACTGGGCTCTGACAGCTCATCATCCAGTATAGATAGACGAATGACAGCGCTGGTCTGATGGGGAAAGAAGACCAGCTCCCCATCTTGCACTGGCACAAAGTCCTCCCCTGCTTTGGCACTGCCATCCCATGTCTTGTAGGTTAGTTTAGTGTGGTTGCCACGAAAACCAAACAAGCGTTGCACATAAAGGGTGATGGTCTTCACATCTTCCTCGACGACTAGCTGTCGGGATTCTGAGGAGAACCGGAACACACCCAGAGGCTCGACCTCAGCCAACGTAAAGTGAGACCTGCAATGAGCACCAAGAAATGTAAGAATCTAAGTCCGTTACAGGTTTTGCTCTCTGGGGAAATCTATTTGATTAAAAGCAAAATGAAAAAAATTATTAATATGCACATATTGCATAATACAAAGTACAAGTTCAACTACAGGACAAATAGGGGCAAAGGGTAAAGCCTGAGTATCTTTTCTCAAAGACTAAGGACTGAATGACACAAATGTGTGCAATATCACATATTTTCTTCACTCATGTTTCTTTGTTCTAAACTGAAACTGTACTATATGTCTATTTCATCTGTATCTGTATTGAGACTTGTTTTTAATCCTGGTCACTACCTACTCAACACTGACTGAATTACAAGTGCCCCATTTAACTAAGAAAATCAAAGGTAGTTAAATTTACAGTAACTTGCTACTTTGCAGTTCTGTGGACTAAATAATATTGCTTAAATGATGCTTTTATTACCAACTTTCAAAGCATTAAAGGATTCTTTAGTGCTAAGTCAAGCATTGTTATTTATTATATTTTGCAAATAGATTTTCCTGCTAAATCCTCATTGTGTTAGTTATTTTCTGATGTTAGGTTCCAATGATGCGGTGTACAACTCTTGTTCCAATACTAATAACTACTCGTACTTGTTACTGGTGACTCATTCGAAGATCAGTCTATCAACAGTGGTACCTAAGTTGGCTCCTTGACATCTGCATGCTTGAAATGTATTATCTGCCTTCCTTGTACACTGCTTTGGGCAGAAGTGTTAAATAGAAAGATGCAAATGTATTCATAATCTTTACTTGCAGTTCTGAGAGTGATTGCAAAATGATTTTAAGAATTCTAAGAAAAGGGATTATGTCACCTGAGTCGAGCCCCTCCTGGAACATTAGCATGTGCTGCAGTGAGATGCACGGCATAGGTTGCAAGATCAGATGCATTTAATGCGGCAGTAAAGGACAGTATTTTTCTTCTTTCTCCATTAACCAGTCTCAAGGTGCCTGCAAGGAGAAAAACAATGCCATGATATTCTATTTCAATGACTTTTTAGAAAACTTAATTTGCTAAAACCTCTCACCTGAGCTTGGTCTGATGAGGCCTAACTGGACACCTGGTGGGGCCTGACCAGGTGGATATCCAGATCTCCATTCCACATCCACATCGCCATAGAGCCCACTGCGGGACACAAGTGCCTCACAGGAGCCAGTGTTAAAATCTGAGATCTGTAGAACTACTGATTCAAATCCGACCTAGCATCATGTATGAAAAAAAAACATTGCAGAGTATTTTGCCTTTTTATCTGTTTACACCAATTGAGTTTTACTACTCATAATCATTTGCATATGACAAACTTTGTTTTAACAGAAAGGCTCCATAAAGAGCACATTTTATAAAAAAATATTTAGTAAAATTATTTTTTTTGCATAGAAATATCAGCAAAGAAACATATCCAAAATGTGAGTCAATTATTATTATTATTATTATTATTAATAATAATAATAATAATAATTTAGTAGTAGTAGTAAATATATATCTTCCAGGAAAAAGTAACATTTTTGCGCCACCTTGTGGCACAACCCTGTTGAAACTAACCTCTGAATTGGCAACTTCTTCATGAACAGTCAATACGACTCTCTGCGACTCACGAAGTATCCGAGGAGCAGAACTGAATACCGACCCGATGAGGTTCACATCTGTCAGCTCAATGGTGAATTTAAAGCCAACAGCAAAGAACACCTTTAAAGAGAAGTGACAAGTACTTGCAAAGATCTGCCAAAAAGGATGTACAGAAAGCTCCTTAATATACATGGTAAAACTTAAGAAAATCCAATATATTGCAATAAATAAATTAATAAAAACCAGCTTTATTCACTAGGTGTTGCAGATTAATTTGATAAATATTCTTAGCTAGCACAGTTAACAACAACAAAAGTGTTATTGCCAAAATTACTGACACTATACAGTTGCCGCATAATTGTATAGGTTACAGTGTTGCATAGTCACTCACCTGATTGCTAAGTGACACTGTGGTCCTAGCAAATTTTGCCCCATCCTTCACAAAGAGGCTTCCGAGTATTGCATCCATGACGGCCCCCTGGTTTGGCATACTACCAGTTACTCTATAGTCCACCGTGACATTGCCAAAAGTCCCAGCATGCCGTGTGATATTCAGTGAGATGAACCGAGTGTAGTTTGTTGGATTGACCTCCAAGGACTGGAATTCTGGGTACAAAGCAAAGATGCCGTGGGGCTCATCATTTGCCCTGACCTTGATCTGGGTCTTGCTCCTCTTGATGTCAAGCTCAGCCCCCCCAGCAACAGAGCTCAGCTGTATGACGTACACCTCCTCCAGCTCAGGCACGCTGTCTGGCATCAGGCTGACAATTACTTTAGCTAATCTCTCACCCTCCATAATTATTACAGAACCCCTAAGTAAATAGAAGTCTTCAGCGGTATCTGAATCACTCAGGATCTCCCAAAAAACCTAAAAAAAAACAGACATAATAGCTTGAGAATTAAAAGAGAGGAGAATTCAGTACAGAAAAAGATTAACAGAAAAAACACATTATTTTCATTATATAGCGCACATATAAAGAAAAAATGTATATTTTGACAATTCCCACGTATTTTGCCATATTCCTCATAACAGGGATAGTTCAGAATCCAAGATTAGTAAATTGTTAATACAATTTAGGCTTTAAAAAGTAATTTGCTTATTTTTGTTTAATCTGTAGTCTGCATTGCTTTTCACTTTTCTTTTCCATAACCTATTAACGAAGAAGAAAGTTTTTAATAAGAGAATCCTTGGTCAACATTTTGGACATACTGTGATATTGCCCATGACTCCCTCGCTACGCATGATGGGGAGGGTAATGTTCAGGGGTCCTTCAGCGTCACTTGGTTCATTGTAGGTTCTCTCCGTGAGGGCCCCAGGAGTAAAATGCACTATACCATTTGGGTCTCCAAACTTCTCTATCTGCAGCAGCCAGACACAGAGACCCAAGTCACTAATATATGTTTAGTTACCCCACACAGGCACAATGATCCCTAACAATCTATAACTACTAGAGACAGTGATATAAATAAGTATTTAAAAAGAAAGTCATTCTTTTTACTTTATGCAAATGTTCTCACATTTTTTTGCAATAATTATGAAGTTTCAAGCCTTAATATCACAATGGTTCCAAGGAACATCACTGAACTACCATGCCACCCTCATAGTTTATCAACTAGACTAATTTTACTAAGATATTTTTGCTATTAACAATAGGCTTATTGAATAATACAGCACAAAAGGTACCATTGTGATATACTTGAAATTAAAACAATTTTTGCTACTTTTTTCATTTTGTAAAACATATTTCCAATGTTAAAAATTATAAATATACTCCCTGAAACATCATGATACATTAGAGACTTACTGTAAGCATTAGACGTCCTTTCTTGGCATCAATATCTGTATCTCCAGATAAGAGGCTGAGAATAACAACAAACGTCTCTGCAATTTCCACTTCTCCATGGGGCAAAATCCACAGCTCAATAATACGAATTCCACCGTCCCCATCTCTGAAATGGAACGATCCGTTCACTGGTTCCCCAATGTCTGTATTATTCGCTGGCAAAATATCCTGTGAATTGGGACCTAGAATCTTCCAGTTTATCTGAAAAGTTATCACAAATAATATTAATGAAACTGCAGAATGTAATCAAAATAAACATCTTCCTTGGAGTGTTATAAAAAATACAATAAAGTGAGTCTTTGCCAAAAAATATTTAATGTTCTTTTAAACATACATGTATTTAAATTCATTAGGAAAACATAAAATCAACTTTAAAAAATATACTGAAACAGATATCAAACCATTGGCTTGGTATTCTAAAATATTTGGTGTGATATTAAACTGATGCAGGAAAAAGAAAACATTTTTTAAATAAAAATTGTGAAATCATATTCGCTTATCCATTCTTTTTCCATAATTTTTATGGAAGGAGGCACTGAGTCGTGAAAACCTGTCCCAGGCACTGAGACCATAAAACCTGTCCCAGGCACTGAGACCATGAAACCTGTCCCAGGCACTGAGACCATGAAACCTGTCCCAGGAAGAACAGGGCCCAACCTAGATAGGATAGCGGTCCATCCCATATATAAACACTGCACAGGAAATTTAGAGGCACTAATGCTTCTGAAATACATGGTTCAGGACTGCAAAAGGAAATCAGAGTACATGCAGACTCCACACACTGAGCCAGAGCAGGAATTAAACCCATAATTCTGGAGGTGTGAGGTCACAGGGCCCCCCACTGAGCCACCCAATTTCCATGCATCTGGGACAAAAAAACACAAGGTCACTACTTGAATAGTGTTCTGAAGTGCACTTCAATATAAATAACTTACTGTGGTTTCGCCTACCAGCCCGCCTGTCCTCTCCAGCATTAGTGTGAGGCTTAATGTACTGTTGGGATTTTGTATGGTGAGCCTGCTGTGGTTCAGGAAGCGAACCACCCCATTTGGAGAGTCACTTTTAGCAATGGTTATCTGTGCTACTAAATGCCTTCCAAGTATGGCTCCTCCAGTAGCTCCTGAAAGCTGGATTTCAAACATCTCACTGTATTCCCTGCCAGGACAAACAAGAGTATCTTCATATATTTACATGATTTCTAGTGTGTTGTCAACCTTTTCACATATCAACAGCACCATGCCACTAACAATGGACTCCTCTATGACCTTATGTAGGTCATCAACCTCTCATAGCCTTCTCACCTGTCAAGATCATCAATAATAGACACATTTATATAAGTTTGGTTCTGTCCTTGGTTGAAGGTGACAGAACCATTGGGGAGGATGAAGTCAATGTTAGCCAGTGCAGTGAAGCTGTGAGTGATGTACTCTGCCATGATCTGACCATAGGTACCTCTTCTTCTTAACAAAGGAATGAAGATCACACCCACATCTTCTTCCACTGTGAGATAAATATTGTACAAATACAACACAGGTTATAGCAATTATAATTATAATTATAATTATATTACACAAGTGAGTGAATGTTGTAGAGGATTGTGCTCACCAGTTATATTGATGTAGTCAGGGTCAAACTCCACAATGCCCTCTGCATTGTCATTTTTATGAATTACAATCATAATGAATGAGATGTTTCTGATGGCTGGAGGCTGATCAAGCTGGAAGCCCTGCTCCCTTACTGCAAAGTCCCAGTTACTAAACACCAAGAAAACCATGAAGTCACTGCTCATTCCTGGGTCAGTAACCTAGGTAGCACTATGCAGGTTAGGGCCATCATTCCATACCTGTTATTAAGAAGCTCCACTTGGGTGATATTGACATAGAAGACCTCAGGTCCCTCTGGAAGATCATCATCCAGAATTTCCAGTGAAACTGTTTGCAGAGTTACACCTGGCTCAAAAAGCACTTGCCCCATAGCTGGGACAAAGTCCAAACCACTAATGGCTGTATTGCTGACAGTCTGATAGGACAGTAGCACACTGTTAAATGTGCCCCTGGAACGTAGCATTGTTATATTCACCTGGAAAAACCATGATACATTTTTACCAGCATGCAATTTGTGTAAAAAATATTATTCATCTCAGGTCTTTAAAAGGACAAGTATTTTATAGATTATTTTATTGTAACAATATGGATCGATTTCTTTTGTGACGCCTCTTCGATGCTTACTATCCTCTCTTCTTCTGAGGTGTGCAGAAGCTCCTGAGTAAAGCAGAAGAGACCATATGGAAAATCACTGGCTGTCACGGTAAGGTTGGCCTGCCTGCTGGCAGGGCTGATCTCAGCTCCAGCACTGACTGCACTCAGGATCAACTGGTAGATACGTCTTTCTTCTGGTACATCATCATCTAGGACCTGCAACAAAAGTCCACTTAGATCATGTTAAAAAAAAATTTGATTGACCTGCTGCAGGTCAATTAAAAACAAGAATGTTCATATGAACTCTTTTCCCCAACTTAATATAGTTTCTGAAGATCTTTTACCAGTGGGAGGCTTCAGTATGACAGGAATAGCTGCAGTGGGAAGCAGAGACGATTATTCCCCTGAAACTGGAATAAAAAAAATACCTTCAGCCTGATGGTGGCAGCAGACTGACCATCTCTCATGGTCACTACTCCAGAGGTCTCCTCAAACTCAGAGTCCACAGCAGGAGTGATGTTCCAATAAACGTGGATCTCACCAAAGATCCCAGGACCTCGCTCAAGCCTAACATGAATGTATATCACAGGTCATTATGCAAAAATCCATAGTGTATCATCTATGAGTTAATCATTGGATTCACCTAATGTAACACATACAAGTTTAAGAAAAACTAGATTTTTTTTAGTTATTTAATTATTATTATTGTTCATTCTTGTGCAATTTTTGTTGTTTGTGGTCTTGATGCCTATAAATTGGCAATAACGTGTGCATGTGTATGTGCCCTTTGATGATGTCCTGCTCTCCCCAGGGTGAAACTTCCCACAATCAGAGTCAGAGTTCCCACAATCACGTAAGTCTCTATACCTGACCAATGCAGTCCCATTGTAATTGCCCTGTGGCTCTCCAATAAAAATATTTCTAGAGGATTCAGCAATGCTGATAGTTCCAAGGGCTCCACGATCTCCCTGGATCACAATGGTGGCCACACCTGAAAGTACATATTACAGTAAGTCCTGAAAGCACCACTTAATACTGTAAATTTCTCACTGACCTGAAGTATCCCTACTACAAGGCACTGACCCTTAATGGTATCAATGACACCTTCATTCTTAGGTGCCAGGAGATGGACCATGAATCTCTCATCCCCCTCGAGGACAGCATCAGCCAAAGCAGATATCACCAGCATTTTCTTGGACTCGGTCTGGAAAGAGCCAAGGGTAGAGAACACTTTAATCAGGCTGAAACATTTCCTCTTATTTGTAAAAACATTGCTTTAAGGTTTTGCACTGGCAAACAGACTAGAGAGTATGTGGTAAGAAGACTATGGCATGCCTCATTGAACTGCAGTGTGCCATTGAGAGGTTTCAAGTCATCCCGGGCCGTGTCCTCCAGACGCCACAGAAGATGTACTATTCCCCTGCCCCCAGGACTCCGCACAACTGTCAAAGTTGCTACACTGCCAGGGTCATCATTAAACTGTGGCTCCATAACTGTCACCTTGAGCAAAGCAAAGCACTTACTGGACAAACTGTAAAACAATAGTGAGACAAGATCGGAGGAGCGAAAGCAGCTCTTAAGTAATCTCTCTGTCATATCTTACAGAATGTTCCTCAAATCCAAACAGTCCGAGGGGAGAGTCATTGGGGCCGATGCCGACTGTCACCATAGTTTCATTTCCCAGTCTGGCTCCACCCATTACGTGAGTCAGCGTCACACTGAATGTCTCCAAAAGCTCCACTGCACTATCATCGATAATGGTGATCTCAATAACGCTCATTGCCTGTTGGGCAAAACAGCACGTGTGGAGGTCACATTCACAAAAGCATATATTAAATACCAAAAATGACATTATACTACTCAGGTGGATTCATTGCACCTGCCCATCTTGAAAGGTGACATTTCCTGAGGCAGGTGTAAAATCTTCAAAGCTAGCACTGATTGGCCGAGCTTCCCAGTACGCAACCACAATCCCTCTCCTGCCAGCCAAACGAGCAACAGGTAGCTGCACTACATTCCCCGGAGGAGGCACCTCATGCGCTTGTACCGGATCTGATACATCCTATAGAAGAATACAAAATTAAATAACCTTCTTATTATACTTTAGCTACTTCATTAGATATAACAATATTCTGTAGTCTAAAATAGTAATAGACAATAAATCGGCAGCACATAGGAAAACACATACACTCACGCAAAAAGTACCTTGGTTACGTTAAACATGACGACCCCCCTAGGGTCATCATTCTCTTGAATAGTGACCTCTGCAACCTCCATGCCTGGTCTTTTCAGACTTGGTTGCCCTCCCCCCAGAGACCCTCTAAGAAGCTCCACACTAGATATGTTGATGAGGAATCTCTCGACCAGTTCAGGAGCGTCATCCTAAAAGGACAGTGACAAACAGTGATCTGTAAGAGTTACAGTCAATTGAACAGACAGAGATGCCTGTAACATTTAAGAAAAAAAAATCTGAATAATACCTGTTCACAAAAATGTTAGTGTGGAAATATTTCTCTACCCATGAGGATGCAGTAATGGAACACAAGACAAAAACAGACTAAACACTGCAATTTATAAGAACATAAACTATTTATAAAAATGACAGTATTTTCTTAGTGTAGCTGTGGTCATACAAAGTGATCATTTTTGGCTTCCACTGTGGGCAAGGAATGGGCTAAATGTCTGATGTTTCATAAATGAGTATAACAGGCAGTTTGGCCTACAGCCCTGAAGCAATTGCATTATCCCCCACAGTCCCAAGACTCACTGGCAAAATAGTAATGGTGATGGTGATGTCAGTGACATTTTCCTTCATTACTGCTATCGCATCTTTTGGTATATAGTCTTCATTTGCAGTAGCCTGGTTCTTCGGCAGTTGAGACAGAGCAGGTCTAGTCCTGTAGTGAACTGCCACATCGCCGACAAATCCTTGCTCCCTCACAATTGTAAGTGTGACATTATGTGGCTTTCCTGTAACAGAACAGCCCATTGGTTAAATGCTTCTGCACTTTGTGAACTCTTATATTAAGCTAGACGAAAGCTGATGAAAGCAGCATATCATTACCCAAAGGCTCCTCTGTGACAATGTAATATGAGTCAGAATGCCATCCAATTACCCCAAAGGGGGAGCCATTGGGCAGGATGATAATTAATGCTTGGGCTCGCTCTGTGTTTATGGCCGCTGCCCTTGATGCATCATCGATCCCTATTGTGGCAATGTTCAGGAGGGTGATGGTGACCTTCTCAGCCAGTTCAGGATCTTCATCTGCCAACACGGTGAAGGTGATTGTGGCCACAGCTTGACCTGCTAAAAATGTTGTCTGAGCAACAAATACCAGAAAAAAATATCTTAATCTACATCAAAAACAGATTTCCTGAAGAATGCCATCAAGTTGTGCATGGGCTACAGTTCCATGGCCTCAGATAAGATATAATACTAGTTGAACTATATTTGTAAATACCATGAAATGAGCTTTGCACATAGTACGTTTTCAGCTTTATAAGTGCCTGTATATTTATCAAAACCATTAAGGCTATGTACCCAGCTGAAGGACAACTGCATCCCCTTCGGATTTAATCTTATATCTTCTGCTCACAAATGAATTTCCTTTAACATCACACTACCTGCTGCTATAAGTAAAAACCTTACCACTCCAGATGTGGGAAAGATATCCTCCACACTTCCATTTGCGGCCCAGTGTACAATCAGCCTCCCAAATGTTCCTCTCATTCTCTCAATATTGAGAGAGATAAGGTTGTCTCTTTCTAATTCATCAACCTCCTTAAACAAGGAATTCTAAAAAAGTGGTTGTCAAAATAGGATTAAAGGCAATGGACACATAATTACCACAAAATAACCTTAGGCTGTTAGGCAGTGAGAAACATACCTGTGCAAAACCTACAATTCCATGTGCATCATCATTTGAGGAAATGAAAATGGTCACCTGACCATTGACTCCAATTTCAGCCCCACCTTTGGGATTTTTAAGATTGACATGGAAATACTCTGTGTCTTCTGGAAAGTAGTCATCAAGGATATTCACTGCAATCGTCAATTCACTGTCACCTGGTTCAAAATGCAGTTCACCTGAACTAATGAGAAAATAACGCAGAGCATGCAGTAAACACCATCTATAGAACGTCAACATAATTTTTCCTACGTGTAGATCTCAGTACCTGGGAATAAAGTCAGACTGGTTGGAAATGGATGTCAGCTCATATATAGTTGACCTTGCATCATGTGTGGACGCAATGAGACTTCTTGTGGAATTGAGGTGAGGGACAGGGAGAAAGAGAAATGTTTGAGTTGGAGGAGCCTCCAGCATTAAGGAGAAGCAGCTTTGTTTGGACCTCCATGAGAAAATTGCAGAGGTGTTGCCTCCTGCCAGGAAGAGATGACCTGAAAGGCAGAGAGGTACCCAAATGGCACAAATTTCATGGTGACTTTATTATTTCACTGTTACAAACATTAAAAATGACATGCTTGAAAATCAAACATGTCCCGGCACCACGAAGCACATATATTATCAGATACTCACTAAATCCTGAGGGTGGGGTGAAACTGTGGGCAGACAACAACCCAGGAAAGTGGATGGATTGGAAATGCTGGAAGAAGAATAGGCTGGAGCGCCACACAAAAACATCACATGTAGAATTGGGTCCTGAAGAGAGACGCACATAAGATGCACAGATTTTTCTCCTTCACAACACAGAAACAAGGGTGGGGTTGTACAAGAAAATATATCCCACCCAACCACTGTAAATTACACAGCATGTGGCTGATTATGGTCTTTACTCAGACTTTCTGCAAACCACTAAATGAGAACCACTCTGAATGTTTGTGGTTTTAAAAATGGTGATTGGTTCGTGTTCAGAGTTTTTTTTCTTTTAGTTAAGCTTTGGTTCTACATGTATATGATTCATATACTGTACTTCAAAACAGAAATGGGAAGTTACTAATTTAGATATGAACATTGTGTCTGTGTTGTGTCTGCTGCAAATGTTGAACACTGACAGCACAATAATGATCAATAACAGAACAAAAACAAACAGATCCAAAAAGCTATCTGTCATCCAAAAACATGTGAAACAAATAGCTGTAAAGTGAACATGTTACCATCTGTAACCATGAGTAGATAGATGTCTGCCCCAATGTGAAAGGTCTCCACTTGTTTAGCTGAGCTGCTGGGGGAAAGAAGCTGTGGATTCTGGAATTGACCACTGCTCCATTGGTACAGAAGACAGTTGTCACTTTTATTGTTGACTGCGACAGCCAGGTACAAGGCATTCCCACGGGAGAACAGAGCGAAACTCAGCACCTCCTGTATCTCCAAGGTCTGATGGAGAATGAATCTGCTTCCAGCCCACACCAAAACCTGTGGAGTTATTGTAATACTGTGAAGATCATATGAACGTATTTTAATATTTTTTAAAATGCTAACCAGCTGCATGGATCTAAGAGATTACTTCAAGTTCTATTTTCAAATCAGTAACATAATAAAATCTGTTAAATACTAAAATAATTAAAAATATGATATTTTGCATCTGGCAATGTCAGTTCTGAGCAAATGCAAAATGTAGTTTATTTGATTGAAGGTATTTTAAACCTTAAACTCTTTTAAACTTGAAACAATTGGCATGTAGTTTTCAAACTTACTTGGTTTGAGGCTATCAAATAATGTTCATTTTCCACTGAGAAGTATTTGATTTCGAGACCTTCAACATTTAGTGTTTGTTCCTGCAAAAAATATTGAATTGTCAATAACAGGAAATGGAAATTATTTGAATGTATCAATAAAATAGTCAGGCTTGTAGAAAAAAACTAGTCTTACTCACCAAAGTAAGACTCAAGTTCAGTTGCAATCTGTACAAACTCATGTTAGCAGTCTTGAACTCAGGGTGGGCCCCGTGTGTGACCACAACATAAGAGGAGCCATCCATTGCAAAACCCATACATCGTTTTGGGTCCTGAATTCTCAAAGTCTGAAAAAGAGAGGCAGCAAAATATACATCACATTCTAAGGCACAAAATTATAACTGTCCTATAAAAGCAACAACAGATGCCTGGGTCATTCTCATGAATGACACAATTACTGTGTTTGCGTTATTGTGTAGAGCAACTGACATCACCTTTACTTATTAGGTATATTTCATAAAATGGGCAGCCAGAAATTTCACTACTGTAACAGTTTTAAGGTCAAACAACACGCAACTAGATGAAATATTTATAAGTCTTTCAACTTTATTACATGTAACCCACAATAAACAATCAATTTGTATGATATGTATATTTTTCTGCATTTTTTTATCTAAATTTGGTGCAATGCTTTTTTTTATTAGGCAAATACATGATAATATAGTAAAACCGATTGACTAACCCAGAGGTTAACCCAGAGCCCCAAACATATTTAAAAAATGAGAGAACAGTGATATGCTATCATGATAAATTTGTGAGAACGACCCATCTGATCTTAAAGTGCATGGTAGTGATAGAATTTACCTGTAGCGGTACAAAGACTCCTTGCCATCTGTACAACGTGGCTACACTTGGAAAGAAGTTGCCAGTAGCTCCCAGTCTCATGGCAAGAGAAATGTTTCCACTGGCCAGAGTACACCAGCTAGAGGTAGGAGTCTCATGGAAATTCTGAAAGACACCTAAAACTGGAACATCTCCCACTGGAAAAAAAATACAATTTACAGTAGAGTCATTACCAAAATACTCATGCAATGCTATGATATTCTAGAAGTGATAGTTCATTAGCTAATGTTTGATGTGTACAGATGGTTTTGTGTTTGATATGCAAAGGTTTACATGTTTATTCTTTCCTAAGGTCATTTTTTGCAGTGATAAATGATAAAAGGTCTCTTGTTTTCTTACTCATCCCAAAGGCGGTGCCTGATTGAAATTCCCACTCCACACTGACAGCAGTTTCTAAGCCATTACTGCGGGAAATGGTCATAAACAACGTCTTATTTCCCTCTCCCACAGATATGGAGCTTGTCCTGCACAAACCAAATAGATCACATTAAGAAAGGAACATGTCACTGCACATTCATTTTCCATTAATGACCAAAAAGCTATTGTGAAACATTTTTCAGGGTTCTGTATTCTTAACTTAGTACAAAATCATTAGAGCAGACACTTCTTAGGCTGAATCCAGTTTGTTCCAGGCATGGTACATTTAAAATGATTTATATTTGTTCTATAAATCAAATGAAAGTACACAAACCTATTCTGGACAGGGAAAATCCGGAAGAGTCCAAGAGGAGCCTTGTTCTGCAGCACTGTGATGGTTGTCTGCAGAAAGTCCCCAAGGCGTGCTCCTCCCATGGGGTTGAAGAGCATCACTGTGAAGGTCTCATTCGCTTCTGGCTCCTCGTCCAACACAGCCGAAATCCTAAGTGCCTGAACATTTTTACATTTCTTTAGATTTCAAGAAACAAACAGTTCTTGGTGTCTATCTTTCAAAGAATCTTGAATCATTTCATTCATCACCACTTGTTTATGCTGTCATTATTAACGATGATTCAGCCACTTACCTGAAATCTTTCTCCATCCTCAAGAACTACAATACCCTCACTAGGCACCAGGTCACTGGTTGAGAGGGAGCCATTGGCATCTGTGATGTGGAACTGGACAGTGACTGTGCCAAAAGTTCCCTGTGGTGGGTTGCGCATCACATATAAATTGGCAGAGCTCTGACCTAAGCCTGATGAGGTGGGTTCCTGCAGAAGGAAGTGTTGACTATTGTTGAAGGTGATCACGCCATGTCCATCGTCATTGGCCAGGATAAGTACTGTAGCTGTGGACACAAAGTAGTGGCTCTTTTTATTTTATAGTGATGAAGCTTCAAGCATGGCTGAAATTTGTCCAGAATCAGAGACAGCACGTACCCGTGGTATTGTGCCCAAGTTGAAGTCCAAAAGAAGGATTGCCTAAAATAAGCTGAAATTTCTCATCACCCTCTGGTACGGAATCATCAATGATCTGAACATCAATCAACTTCTGCCTTTCTCCATCAGCAAAGTGGAGAATCTGCAATAAGTTGGTATATTTATTAGAACAGGTGTTGTAACAGGTGTTTGAAAAAAATCCAGTTAACATGATATAATATATCCTCCTGAGACCCAAGGAAAAAAGTGTCCTTCAATTTTAGGTTATTTGTCTTTGGAGGAAATTACATCTCACAATTAAAATTTTTTCAAATTTATTTTTATTTTTAATTTCACAGCATGTCCTCTTTAGTGTACAACAGGAATAAATATGTTTCCTTACATCAGTGAAAAGATAGATGCAAAAACAAAATGTCCACTGGAATAGACGTAAATGAATGGGTGGGGTCTCAGGAGGATACAGATTAAGGAAAACAGTTAAATACACTGGGGAAAAAAGATCCACGTTGACAGCCTCCAGCTCACCGAAGATGTGACATTAAAATCCAGGCCAAGTTGTGCCTCCAGATTCTGGGCATAGAAGAAGAGGCTGACATTGCCATAGCTCCCACCATTTCTGTATGCAACCAGTGTCAAGACTCTTTGCGTCTCATTGACCTCGAAGCTAAATACAATGAGAACAAAGGAGTAGATTAAAATGACATCTACAGAACTATAAATAAATGTGCATACAGTGTTTGGTGCTTAGTGTAATTAAATTTAATTAGATTTAATTAAAAAGATATATATAACTCAAAGACATTTGTAGAGACAGCTGTTACGTCGTACTAGTATAATATAGTTTTACTTTCATTCAAGCAATGTTGAAAATAAAGTTAAAAACAGAAAAAGTCTCACTGAGATACTCCATGGATACATTACTTACTCTGTTCTTTTCCACTCAATGATTCCTCTGACTCCATCATTTGCACCAATGCATACCTCTGCCATCAGTCCCAGGGTATCTGAGAACAATCAAACAATTTTCAGTCATACTGTTTGCTATATAAATGCATAACATTCATGATTAAAGATCATAGTAAGTAAATGGAAAAGATTCTGATTATACACAACAAACTACTGCAGATCACAAAGCACCATATGAAAAGCATTAGTCCACTACCTTTAAGTGTGTAATAAATCATATCTAGTGGTTACATGTCAAGTTTTGCAGAATGAAAAAATGGAGGAAAGAAAGATTCAAGCAGCATAAGTTGAATAGATGTGATTTGTGCAGAACATAAATCAATAACAGAAAACACAGAAAATGCGGATTTTTAAAGGAAATGTATAGCAAGCACAGCCGGAGAAAACAGAAAACTCACTGACAGAAAATCAGACTGTTTCCTTTTCAGTAATTATTAGTTATGTCGTAATAAAACATAGCACTTTTAGTACATGAATTATAAAAACCGAAGGCAATTTTTAACTAATCATACCCAGCTTTTGAGAACTGGCAACCACGGAGATAAGAACTGCTGATGTGATATTGATGAGGAAACATTCTTGCAACTCTGGGATCTCATCCTGACAGGACAAACAAAGCATGAAGATGTGAGCATGCTGCATGTGAATGACAACACTGGAAAATGGATAAAGTTGCTTAGCAACTACAAATCAAATCTGCATAAACATAATACACAGTAGTTGCTTAACATCTGAATGAAGAGCCCCGGTCATAACATAACAATAAAAATTACTTTGGCCACATTTTACTAATTAATTTCCATGATGTATTAAATTGTGGGCACCTTTTGTCAATTAGTTCCCGTTTTAGTTAAATCGTAGCCGCATTTTATGAATGAGTTCCCATGATATATTAAAAAGTGGCTAGATAAATACTGCCTTACACCACACACCTCCTAATATAGGTTTCAGGTCTTTGCAATAGAAATTGGATGAAAATTTCTTAAAAGCACATTTGCAAGAGATCAACAGAACTGTCACACTCATGGGTCATCTTACATCTATAATGGTGATGGGAATGGCCAGAGAGGTTTGTCCATCTTGCATCACCAGCGACCCAGTAGCTGAAAAGAAGTCCAGGCCTGGTTCAGCCAGGGCACTCTCTGTCAGCACCAGATCATGGCGGGATCCCTTCACTGTCTCATAGCTGATATTTATCGCCCCTGGAACACAAGCATATGCAATATAAAATAGCATATAGTGTAATGAAACACATACTGGGAAAGCAGATAAATAAAAATGAGAATAACCATCGTAGTGACTGACATTTGATGTAATATACTGAATTCATATTCAAATACTGTCCAAATTATTACAACAGTACCAAGGACAGAGGAAAAGGATTCAAAAGTAAAGCAAAAAAAGAAGAAAGAAAGAAAGAAAGAAAGAAAAGAAAAAAACTGAAGAGAAAAACAGAAGAGAGTAAACTGGGTCACTGATTAGTATTGTAAAGCAGATGGACAGCGTTAGCTTCCATTCTGAGGAGACTCACCAGAGGCTCCTTGATCCCGGTTGATGAAGATTTTTATGGTGGTATTAACCTCTTCACTGAACACGCTGAGGGAGGGTGGGGCAATACTGAGGACCCCAAAGGGCTCATCACTGGCAATCACAGTCACTAGTGCTTCATGACTCTCAGAGTCCAGTTCTGCCTGCCCTGTTACTGCCACCCCTGAGAAACATATGACACTTACTGATCAGGTCCCAGAGACCCAGAATATCAATGTATAGCTCAAGCATTTGCCAGAAATTTAATGTCATAATTAGGGCTGTAAATCGATTAAAATAACAATAACTAATTAATCAGACAGTTTTCTGCGATTAATCATTACTCATCTGTTTAGTGGTTTAATTTTGACTTGTTGTGTACAGATTATTAATTTCCCACAAAAAAATCTACTTACACATAATTACAATCTGAATTTCAATGCTTTCAAAAAGGCACTGAAAAGGCATACGCCACATATAATAACAGGTACTCAACAGGTGGATTAAATCTAAAAATCTAAAAAACTATTTGGCAAATGACTTTAAAAACAGAAGCTTTACAACCACTGAAAGTATACTTAATAACATGAAAGATCTTACTATTTTAAGGTATAAGCATTCAGTAAAATAAAATAAATACTGCACATTACAATATGTTTGTCCTATGTAAGCCTCCACTTGGCAATTTTTAAAAACAAAATAAATCGGCTTCTCTGTGAAACACTAACTGAATGCTTTGAATTTAGTTTTGAATTCTTGGATTCTGTGAAATGTCAGGACCTGAAGTCTCACATTGTTTTCAACTAGGAGGGAATAGTATAGGTCTCGAATAAAATTCTATATATCTTATAAATCCATATATTATATTATTGAAAAAGTAAAAGGTGTCGGTAATTAGGTCAGTGTATCTTGAACTTGCATCAGCAGCATTACCTTGAGTGCGAATGTTGGACAGGATGACCTTGTACTCCTTCTTTTCCTCAGGTGCCTGGTCATCCATTAACTGAAGGACTATAGTTTCACTTAGGATTCCCTATTTAATCACAATGAACAAGGGTACATATGATTATAGGCTTCATAGTGTGGAATCTGACACAGTTTCTGACTTTACGTAACTGAGCTAACTTGGCAGACAATGTTACTAGGCGTTCAGGTAATTTCACAGAATCAGAAGTCTAAACCGACCACTCTGACATGAGGAACACAGTCTGTCCATCCAAGTACAACAGTGTTATACCTCAGAAAAGAAAAGTGCTCCAGAGGTATTGACAAAAGTCTGTTGGGGGCGCAGACCCTGAATCCTCCAATCCATGGTGACATTCCCTCGTCCAGGAGATGACCTCTTCACCAGGAGATGGAGTTTCTCCCCTCCAAAAATAAAAGAAAGCAACTGTCACCCATGACTTCCAAAAGAAAGGCAGTAGAACAATCTAATCTAATCTTTGCGAGGGACAGTCATGACATTGTGTCATTGTAAGAATTTCTCTGGCTAACTTAACTCTCTGGATAAGGTGATAATTATCTGCATTATGCAATAATGATACCTCAAGATGTATTAAAAAAGGATATAACAAAATCAACTGCAGTGACAGTTTTGAAATTAATTGCAAGAAGAAAAATCCATACAACGCAATACACAACAGAGCAGAGTAAAAAAATCCTCTGACTATTAAACAAGCAAGAACTCTCTCATATGGTGCAAATCATGACTTGGTTCTCTCACTGTTTAGATACAGTACTCCCTCAGATACCAACAAGCACTAAAATGGAGAAAGAACCAGCTCCCATGCTTCAGACCCACAATTGGTGCCTGGATCTGCAGCCCTTTTCATTAACTCAAATACTTTCTAATCTGTTTCAGCAGGTGACCTGGAAGCCTTCCTTAGTGATGGATCAAAAGAACAGTTGCTATTCTTCAAACAAAATGATACCCATGGGAAATGAGATTCTCCTGTAGCACTATTTCACAGTCTGAAATAACCTCCTCTATTTCATCACCACCCAGTAGGGGAGAGTAACCCAAGTGCTTGTGGTCCCAAGGTCCAAAACAGATACAGTCATGCACCTCCTGCATACCCACTGCTATGGAGGAAGAAGAAAGCATTGGGGAAAATCTGAGTCTAGTTGCACTGGCCAAGCGTAGATGCTGAGGCGTGATACTTCTGTGGAAGGTATCCCACTTCCCAGCAGACCTTGCCCCAAGCACCCCTTCCTGCTCCATTAGTCCCACTCCCTATCACTGATCTGCCCTTTGAGTAGCTTGGGATGGACATTTTAGGGCCACTGCCAAAGTCAGCAAGGGCACACAAACACATGCTACTGCTGGTCGTCTATACGAGAGATTCCGAAAATCAGTTCTGCGAACTGGGACAGGTCCGGTACAGGTCCGGCCATAGACCATTGTGGGGGGGTGGGGTTGATTCATTTCCAAAAATAAAGTAGAACAATAAACTAAAGCTACACCTCTTTTGACAACCTCTGATGTTCACATCTGAATTTAATCTTATTAATTCAGTTCAGCCGAATGATACATTGCCACCCCATGGTGAACGAGGGTTCATGCTATTGTGTAAGAGCTCTTCTTTCTGGTCACCAATTTAAGTACACTGAAGGACATTATGAGTGACCAGGGAACCCTGTTTTTCTCAAGGTTCATGGCTGACCATCTGCCCCAGATAACATGACACAAGACTTCAGTCCACCTTCCATAATCTTATGGGCTAGTCAAGAGGTACCACCAGACCTTAAAGCTTCGGGCATAGCCTGCAAAGTCTGGGAGTTCCAAACAACTTCATATAAATTCATCATTAAATATATCCAGAATAGGAATGGATCAGATACTGTAAGTGATGCCTATGGTGAAGTCCCAGTGAGCACAGCAGCGATTGTACAAAGTCTCTACGTCACTGAGGAACAATGCGTCGATCTATGGGGCCAGTAAGAATGCAGGAGGACTGAGGAAGCAAATCACATGAACTGCCTGAAAAGTGGATCCAGTCGATCCCTATTATGCCTGCCTGGGTTGCTCTGGAGAAGGACTCTGCCGGCCAGGATGTGGTCGAAATGGGGAGCCAGCTCAATGCTCTCCAGTACTAGGTGTTAAGAGAGCTCCACAAGATAGGTGTGTGCTAATCTCAATCAGCACCATGGACAGCAGTCACCTGTCAAATTTTCAGCATCTCTGTTGCGGACCACCTGTAAAAAGATTCCTCAACCTTAATCCTCCATACCTAGTTCCCACTAACGGCCCCAGCTGGGTCATGTTTGGGATGGCTCCCTCAAAAAGAAAAGCAAGAAGCAGGAAGGCAGATATCAAGTTAGTGCCTCCAGCCCGGCCATAGCAGTGCAACACCTGCACAAGCATGAACAGCTTTGCCCTAAATGGAGCAAAATCTTGGCTTGAATCCATCCAATATACCTGTATGTAAGTATGTTGTTTTACTTATTAAAGCAATAACATTACAAAAATCAGAAAAAAGAAATTACCCTTGTCATAGTTTTTCTTATGGGCTAAATGAAACACACAATTCATTTTCAGAAGGACACTTAAAGAGATGTAAATATGACAATCCAAAACAAAATTTAATATTCATGCGTAATGAATCTGTACCGGATGGTAAAACCACAGTATATTTCAAATAAAATTATACACAAATGCAAGAACAATACAGTCTGATGGTGGCTCAGAGGATGAAGAGAGTGGATTAGAGCTGGATCAGAAACATAAATGGTGATTGTGAGCAGGCAGAGACACACACCTTCCCGGGCGGTGACTGAACGTGAAGCATCGTGGAAGCCCACCACACCAGCCAGGTGATCGTTGGCCAGGATGACAATGGTGACCGTGTCAGAGCTGGGCAGGATGCGGCTCCCCCCCTCCGTATTCACCAGGCCGATCATTACCGTTTCATTATCCTCTGGCTCCATGTCATCCATTATAAATATCTCTATGGTCTTTTTTAGGTCTCCTTTGCACAGAAATGCACAAATAACAGTATAGAAATAATGGAAAACCAGTTTAGCCGTATCCCAGTTTTAATATGTCTGGTATGATGTCTAACAGACCTACCTTGTGCAAAAATGAGAGTTTCACCAGTCCCATTGAAATCTGCTTTGGGTAGGGCAGTTCCACCTACAAATTTCCACTCCACTGTTACTTGCCCCAGACTTCCCCCTCTTCTCTCAATAACGAGTGACACAGAGGTGTGGGGTTCCTCCTTTACTTCTAGGTATAAGCCATTCCTTGTGGCACTGGGATTGAGGCTGTAGAGCAGGAAGGTCCCAAATGCATCCCCATTCATGGCTATGGTGACTCTCGCTGTGTTTGGTTGGCCTAGTGAGGGCATGTTCTTTGAGACAGCAGTCAAGTTGATCAGATCAGCTCTTAGGATGTGAATCATGAAACTTTCATCCATCTCTGGGAGAGAGTCGGTCAAAATGGGTACTGTGAGATTGGTCATTCCAGCTCCATCAAACATGGTGGCTACCTGGGATGTCACTGGCAGATAGTCAATCCCAGCAGTAGCACGAGAGCTGAACAGAGAGGATAAGGCTGTGACATTTTTGATGTAGGTTAACACCTGGGTGGAGTCGGTCAGCTGGTTGACTCCTGTTATCACCCAGTTGCAGGTAGTCACTCCAGAGATGTTGGACATGGAGAAAGCTTGGCAGGTGGTCTCCCATAGGCAAAAGGCTGCACAAGCAGTCAAGGGGTTTCTCTGAGCAGTGAGATTAACAGGCCTTACAGTGGCACTAGACAGTGTAGCCCTCACCGGAGCATCAAAGTAAACCAGAAGGTTCCGCCCCTCGTCCAAGGCAGTACTGATAACATCAAATTCCGATGTTCTGTACATAATTTCTAAACGTCCAAAGTGACCCCCACTGGAAATGCAACATACAAAATTAGATATAAAATTTAGGTATGTTTTTTTGCAAAAAACACATTTACTAATACAATCTTTTCAAACAATAAGGCATGCGGGTATCTGTTGCTGAGGGTTTACAATACGGTGGGTATTGAGCATGGGGTATACCTTTGTTAGCTAAGAATTTAAATTGGATACAGTTTAACAACATAATGGTCAGAAGCTGCAACTAAACTATAAAATAGAACATTTAAGCTCAGTGACAAACCTCCTTCTCACAGTGATGTTGGCTAAGTAGACTCCCTCAAGAGGCTCCTGAACACGATACACTGACTGGTCAAAGTGCACAGTTCCGTAAGGATTATCATTGGCAGGGACAATTACATTAACAGCTCTTTCTCGTCCAATATTCCCTCCATTTGAAGCACTTGTGAGTTCCACAAGGATTATCTGGAAATGAAGTGAGAGAAAGGTATAATGTTTCATATGTAGCTGTACTACAATGGTACTGTACCTGCTAACATTTTGGTGTGCATTGGCTTCCTTACTTCCTCAATTTCTGGAACGTCATCTGCCAGCACTTCCACTTTCAAAGTCTTCAAGGTCTCTCTAGGAAGAAACCTGACCTCCCCTGACACAGGTCGAATGTCACCAACAGCGAGCTTCCCGTTGACAGTGGCCTGCCACTGGACAGATACATAGCCTAAAGTGCCAGATTTTCGTAATATTGGTAAACTAATTTCAGTGGAGTTAAAGGCTGGCTCTTCCACAGTGATGGATGAATCCTGGAAAACTGCAAACACAACCAATAACATCATTAATTAACTAGCCAACAACAGACAAAGAGTGCCTAACGAAACACACTACGGAACACATTTATAAAATTACAGTTATGGAGAACAATACCACTTCAAGCCTGGCAGTGCCTACAGTCATTAACATATTTGTATAAATTTAGTCCTGCAATTAAAAAACCAGTTTAGTCAAAAAGGAATAACATATTACATTTCAATACTGCAACTGTCATGCCCCGATTGTCCGCTCCTCTCGTGTGCCACGCCCCCTCATTAACCCCATGTGGATTCCCCGTGTTCATCAGCTGTTTCCTTTTACCGTCATTAGTTCCGTGTATTTAGTCCGCTTTTCAGTTTGTTTCCCCAGTCCGGTCATTGTAATGTCAGCCTGTGTTTTATCTGCTCCTTGTGTTGCCGCTCCTATTAAACCCCGTGTTTGCCCCGACTCTTGGCTTCCTGCGCCTTTCCTACGCTCCGTGTGCCGTCGAGTGTGACAGCAACAATATAACACTTAATATAATCAAGAAATGGTCAAGGGACATCGTTAACAAGGCCACCAAAAAAAAGAAGACCTAAAATAAAAATATCCTACCGTACCAAAAGCACCAAAAGGGTCATCTGATGGCAGGATGGTGATGATGGCTTTGGTTAGCTGGCCAAGCTGAGCACCACCAGTGGTTTGATTAAGCAGCTCAATTCGGAAGGTTTCCTCAAGCTCAGGTTCGTTGTCATTAATAATGTAGATGGGAACTGGTTTGCTGGTCTCTCCTTCGAGGAGGACAACATCAGAGGAGGCCACACTGTAGTCATCCCCTGCACAGACACATTGGATCAATAAAGGAAAGACACTTGGTTTTCTAACAATGAAACAGAACCTGGGAAACTCTAGGAAACTGCCTTTGTCCACAGCGTTATTCTCTGCTTACCAACTCTTGCTGTCATTGGAACTGCCTGGAACTTGACTGATACATCGGCGAAGATGCCGCCAACACGTGTGACATTGACAATGGGACCAATGTAGTGCTCCGCCACACTCACAGCCGAAGAGGACAGCTGTAAAACGCCAAAGGCATCATCACTGGCCTCAACGACGACCTGAGCTACTGTCGTATTTCCCAGACCAAGGCGGGGGGAGTGATGGACTGCAAGAAGAAAAAAGGTAAGAAAACAAAAAAAAGTATTCAAAAGCAAAAAAGTACTAATATTCCATAAATACACTGAAACACAGTTTCACAAAACTGTACTTTGCAGATCTATAACAGCAAAACTACTCGAAACACTAACCTAAACTTAGAAAGCAAATTGAGAATCAGCAGATGTAAATCTTACTTGGTCTGGATTGGACACCTCGAACAAGCTTGACACTACTGAGTTCCACAAAGATTGATTCAGCTCTTTCAGGCTCCTCATCATCCAGCACTTGAAGGGTAACATTCGCTTCATTTTGATTGGCATCGAACAGCACAGAGTCCATCAAAGGAATGAAGTCACTCCTTTCACTTGCTCTCCCAATGCCCGGGGTGCTAAATGGAGAAGGGTCACTGTCCTTAAGGGTCCTGTAAGTCACCTGGGCTAATCCAAGTAACCCCCTCTGTCTTTTAATAGTCAAAGTTACATATGTGTTGGCTTCTGCCACACGTACTGGTCTAGTTATCTCAGAAAACTCGAAAACTCCATAGGGATCGTCACTTGCGAGAATGGTTAGGTTGGCATTAGTCAGATTCCCAAGACGGCCGTGTGAAACGTTGGAAAGGGTCACAACAAAGCTCTTGTCTAATTCAGGAATGATGTCTTCAGCAACTTGAAGAATTAAATTAGCAGTTGTTTGGCCGACAACAAATACTACTTCACCAGTTCTGTGCAAAAGATCTTCCTTGGCAGCAGGTTCTGCTTCCCAAAATACCGTCACATTTGACAAGTCACCAAAAGAGCGCACCACCTAAGGAAATCCAAAGCAGGCAATACATAGAAATCAAATATCAATAAACTCAGGTATTTACACAAAGCCTGTAACAAGGTGATAACAGGTCTGACCTGCATGATAATCATACTGCGTCCTTCCTCTGGTTCTGTTCCATTGACAGCGAGCGAATCTGGACTGAATTGGAAGACACCATGGGCGTCGTCGGATGCAGCGATGGTTATAGTGATACGAGAAGAGATTCCCAGACTGGCTGTGGAAGAAAAATATAATTAATATTCATTCAAGATAATACCGTATATAATGAATGATGAACAGACAGAGGAGAAAATCAACAGAAGCATGCAGATAAAGAAAACCATGCACATTTTTTTAGTCCCTACAAGGGGAAACTCAATTTTATAAAAGTATGTGTTTCTGTATGTCTGGGTCTGTGTGTGGAGTTCCATGTTCCATGTGGGTTTCTACCAGGTAGTCCAGGGCCTGCCATCTAGAAATTCCCCAAAGTATTAACATTTAAGAGACCTGTGACAGACAGGGATCCTGTCCAGGGTGCACTGCCCCCTTGTGCCCCATATAATCTGCTATGAAATGCAAAAATGACTGGTGTGCATCTCTGCGTGTGGACATCAAAGGTCAGTGATTAAATCCTGTCTGGCTTGCTTGTTGAAACAAACCGGAAGACTGAAAATCAAAATACACAGTTAACTTTGCCGAGACATCTGTAGCATGAGTGACCATGGGGATATGTCCTGCTAATAGGAGAACCAGTGTTGTGATATTGAAAATCCAGAGTTACCGTTACTTATCCTCAAAGTTATCCAGCTAAGCAAAAAAAAAAAACACTTTCATGATACACACCTCTGGCTGTTTGTAATGCTTCCCTTTAAACGCTCATCAGTTCTTTACAGACACTGTCATCCACTTTATATAGCGCATGGTTACTTTCCCCACATTTCTCTAGGTATGGAATCAGATTTGTGCCAATATTATCAAGCAAAACGTTTTTGACATCAAGCAAAAACAAGGCTTCGAGAAGAAAAAAAACTAACTGAAGCCAAAGAAATGTCATCTCAAAAGTAAAATGTATAACTTGCAAACACGATTGGTCTTTTGATAATGTTTTCCTTTGTTTACTCTGCCAGCTTTCTCTCTTGCGCTGCCTGTCTTTGCGGTTACGCTGTCAGCTTTCTCGCTTGCGCTCCCTGACTTTTTGCTTACAATTCTGACACAAACTTCTCGCGTGGGTGGGTTTTCTCAGGGACGCGTCCCCATTGGCTAATACGGTTTTGACTGACAGGTCAGTGCCACGGACATTTTTTCTTCTCGAAGCCTTGTTTTTGCTTGATGTCAAAAAAGTTTTGCTTGATAATATTGGCACAAATCTGATTCCAAATTTAGATAGATGTTCACAATACAAATTATCTGGCTTGGTGCAATGTGCATAGCAGTCCCTGATGCCCTCCAAACATAGACAGCTTCTAAATGATAGGCCAGAATACTGTAACGGTTTTAAAGGTTATAAAGAAGGCTAAACATGGTAAATGATATTAAAATTAATGTCAAAGTATAATGTGCTTAATAAAAAGACAATTAAAGTAGCTATGTTTTTTTTAAATCAAATAACATTTATTGGCCTGGTTTTCTGCCATAGGCATCCTGAGACATGTCTTACCACGCTGGTGAAAAGATGGCAGCAAGAATTCAGCATCACTTTCTCCACTGCCACTGCCATCAGTCCTAATTAGCTGATCGACTTCAAGAGCACACAACAACACACATGTTGAAGGAACACACACAGCCAGAAAGAGTTTAGAAGGGAGATTTTTTTCTCACAAGGAAAGAAAAAATACAGGTGCAGATGTAACACACACTGAAACACAAGAGCAGAGGGCATGCCGCAGATGGAGTAATCAACCGATTTGTCTAGGGCAGGGGTAGGCAACCTTTTTAAAGCAATGAGCCATTTTATTCTAAATTTCTGCCCCAAGGTTTATAAAGAGTCACAATGGGGAGAGAAAAGGATTTGAGATACAATTTTTTAATGCGATATGGGCAAGGGCGTAACTTTGGCTGGAACATTGGGGGGGTCGAGGTCTCCACCCATTACAGGGGAAACATGATTATTGGGGGGGTTATATTGGCTGGATCTGATTATTGGGGGGGTCATGACCCCCCTAACCCCCCCGGAAATTACGCCCATGGATATGGGTATATATGCATTTAATGCAAAAACAAAACTCTCACTCTCCACTAACTGTGCTGACCGAGCAGTGCAAAATGTACTCACCACTCCAAACTCAGCTGCTACAATATATAAATCGGTGAAAATATAATAATTTTTATGAAGGCCTGGGAAGGCATGGTGACGATTTACTACAAAGGTATATGAAAGAATTAGGAATCCATTGATAGGAAGATGTAAATGATGCAGTTAAGACATCACAGAAGCGTGTGATGGACTGCCTCATTCATATATAGCTAAAGAAATATCTAAATGGAAAATAATATTAACCCATAAATTAATAATTTATCTTTACAAAAGTATTACCATAAGATGCTAAGACATGAAAATGTGAATGCGTCTATCGTTCTGAGAAGAGCCGCAGCAACGTGGTTAAAGAGCCTAATGTGGCTTGCGAGCCGCAGGTTGCCGACCCCTGGTCTAGGCTAAACTCCAGTGAAACTCATGTTGACTACCAGTGGCCTGGGGCCTGTACTACGAAGCGGGGTTACTGGCTTATTGGGGTAGCTTGTCGGATTTAAGGTAGTCTGGGCAAAATATAAGTGAACGAATATGAAGTTCATTTAAACTGTGGTACCTTAAATCCGACAAGTTACCCCGATAAGCCAGTAACCGCGCTTCGTAGTACAGGCCCCAGGCCACAGATCTCATATTACAAATGTTCGTTTACAAAACTCAAGAATTATAATTTCATCTCCTTTGCATTTTAGTACACCTGTTGATGTGCTCTTCCATTCAGATCTTACAGCAGGTGTTTCCTCTCTTACCTCCTTCTTCAGGATTGTACAGCTCCACTCTGAAAATCTTTTCCAGTTCAGGAACAGGGTTATCCACAATGTTCACAGTGATGGATTTGTATCTCTCCCCAGGAAGGAAATCCAGCACTCCCTCAGTGTCCTGTTCATTTTAATGGTAGGATATACGTTGCTTATGAACAAAATAAATATTGCACAGAACTGTCAATCTTCCACAAAAAGGGTTAAAAACTGTAAAATCCTATGACTTAGCAATAGAAAAGTTGGACATAATCTTTTCCATTTGACCAATAAGGCATTCATTTTGGTAATAACCAATGTCATCTGTTCCAAAGTTTTTGAGTCAAAAATGAAATGTTTTAAGATCAATATGTTGCATGATTTCCATTCTGACTGCCTAACAATTTTTTAAGTTAGTATTTCCATTTTGCCGTGGTCTGCTATATTATTATTATTATTATTGTTGTTATTATTATTATTATGACATTGGTAGTGTAGCATGGCAGTTGCACAAACTGAAGTTCAATAACCCATCTTCCTGCTATACACTTTGAAAATCCTAACGTTAATATAAATATGTAATAAATACCATCATGGAGCATTGCAAGGCATATCTACACACACACACACACACACACACACTCACACACACACACTCACACACACCAAAGGCAAGATTCAGACTCCCAGCCTTAGACATTTAGCACATTAGCTACTGATCCACTAAGCAGCTCTTAGTTATTTAAGCTGTTACTAATTGTTATTATAAAATGTAAAAATGTATTCCTTTGTATTACTAATGACCCCAGAAAACATTAAGCACTGCACACCATGTCATAGTGCCCTGTAAAACCATCACAGCAGAACAAAATTTCTGATGAGTACCGTATTTTTCGGACCATAAGACGCACCTTTTCCTCCCCCAAAAGAGGGGAGAAAAAGTCACTGCGTCTTATGGTCCGAATATTGCTCTGCTCACATGCTTTAACCCTCTGGGGTCGAATGCATAGTTGGCGACGCAGCGTACATCTCGCGTCTATTACAGTTTATCTCTCGCTGAAATCTTAATGTAGAATCATGAAAAAACGCTGGCTAAATCCGTAATCTGTCTTCATTTCAAAACGTCCATTGTCGGAAGTATTACAGTTTTTAAAATTAGGTTAAATCGGCAAAAAATTAAACTATGTCCCCTTACTTTGTTTTACCTGCATCGGGGGCGTGTAGTACCGCTGTCACCCGAAGATCGCTATTCACATTCTAAATAGCCGCATTAGCGCGTATTCAAATTCATTTCATTTCCAACCTTTGTCTAACTTAAAATTACCTCATAGTCTTCTGGGCTGACAGCAGAGAAAGGTAACGTTCTGTAAGCAACCAGGACTCTCCCAAGCAGGCCTTGTGCTCGAACCACGAGCAGGCGTGCTGCCCCGTCCTCTTCCATCACGGTCAGATGTGCCTCTTTTGAGGCTGGGCGAATCAGCCCTTCTGTGAGGGGAAGTGTTGAGAACTGCAGCAGACCTGCAGGGGCAAATGGTGTGTTTTTAATGTCTGTTTTATGAGGGACATTTGCCGTAGTAACAAAGTAACAGTTTGATTATTATATTTCATTAATGGTTAATGTTGTCTGAAAATGATCAATTCAGGCAAGCTAATTTATGATTTTGCTAGAAACAAGCATCAAAAAAAGTCAAACAAGGCATTATATGCACACACACACACACACACAACCATGAAAAAAAATTGAGACCACTCTCTATTTTTTTTTTTAAATCTGCGTTTTTAAACCCTGGTTTCATCCTAGTTCTGCTGGCAGAATGCTACACTGAGCAGCAGGATGATTCAAAGTTCAAAATTTCTAAGACACCAGTGCACAAGAACAAGGTGAAGCAGGAGACACTGGGAATGAGCAGAAACCGGACAGGTGAAGGGTGGAAACAACTGTCTAATGCCAGAGATGACCGTTATCTTTTCTGACAGTTTCTCATGAGATCATAGGATGACATCAAATGGCCTTCAAAAGGAACGGGAAACATTAAGTGCAGATGTGAAGTGCACTGATGGACAGCTCGTACCAGGCTTTTAGAAGCAAGACTGAAGTCCCTTAAAGCAAGGAAGAAGCCTGTCATCAGTGAGAAACAGAGAAGAACCAGGTTGCAGTTTGCAAATATATATTATTATTCAGACGCACCCCCATAAAGTGTGAAAAGAGTGAAACAGAATATTGTGCTGTGGGCTCTTATTTTTTTCCGCGGCTGCTACATACATATGTGTATGTGTGTGTGTGTGTGTGTGTGTGGGTTTATATATATGTGCGTATATATATGTATGTATACATGAATACATGGTATGACAATTCTTAAAATGTTTTGGCATGGCAGTCCTTACATAGGTTATTTTTACTTTTTAAAACTCTATACAATATTTCCCTCTCTTGATTAATAGACCTAATTCATAGAATTGTGATTAAAAATGGCAACATCATAAATACAAAACACCATTTAATTTATATCTCATGGGAAAAACTACTGCCCTTTTGACACCAAAAACCAAGCGCAAATGTTATTTGGTGTTCTGCAAAGAAGATAATTATCCATCCATCCATCTATCCATCCATCCATCCATCCATCTTCTATACCACTTGTGCAATACGAGGTTGAGTTGAGCCTGGAGAATATCCCAGGAAGGGCACAAGATATTGTGATGTCTCAGTACTGATTACAAAGACAAAACATTAAACCATTAAAACAATAGTTGTAATTCAATATTATAATGAAAATAATCAACCAATCCACTGAAAACAACAAAAGTTATATTCAGGCTTAGAGTTAAGAGGAGAAGGCTGAGGAAGTCAGCTAACAGATTTGAAACCCTTTCGGCTTAGAATCAGAAAATTTATATTCCAAACATTTGTATCTAGAAAGGTGAGTACACATATATACATGACAATTCAATATGCTTATATTTACCATAGGGATGATCGCTAGCCTTGATGGTGACACTGGTGGCTGAATTATCAGGATCAATACTGGCTCCACTATTCGGGGTAGATCCAGGTTTCCCATCACTTGACTCAGCTGAAACCAGCTTGATGTCAAACACCTCAGCCAACTCTGGTATGTCATCATCCAAAGCCAGCAGGTTTAGGACCTAGTGGTGGTCAGGGGTGCATATGCAAAACACTGACTGTGGCTAACTGATGTAGTTAATTTTTCATTCTTTAATAGCAAGACTATGAAAGGCCAGTTTGCAAAGACTAACCAAACAATCCACTAGGTGGAGCTATATTTAAACAAATATTTAAAATATTCGTTGCTGTTCATTGTGTAGTGAAATAACAGTTCATTTTTTAAAGTATGAAATAAAATGCACACAAAATTTCCTCTACAAAATACTTGGTACAATATATTTGTTACAATGGCATAAAATAATTCCACAAATCATCTTCCTAACAAAGGTCATATTTTAATAAAGTACATTTTTATATAACACTTAAGCAAAATACCACACAAAAGTTTTCTGAGAGGTGTCTATATCCTCACCTCCTACAACCTACAATAATCGTGTGTTTATGTGCACTTCTTGAACTATAACCAGTGCACAAGGGCTAATAGGCAGGACAGCATGCTCAGAGGGGTTTCCCGCCCAGGCGCGGTCGGGAGGGCAGCATTTCGGAGCTCATTCATGATGGATGAGGGAGCGGAGTTCCCTGTTACCTCAGAGCGCTGGCCGGGTAAGAAGAGGACACTGCCGCTGGTGTTGGCAAAGTCAGGGCCGGTGGGGACGGAGCTGTCAGAACCGAGCTGTCTAACGGTGTAGTTTACAACGACATAGTCCAGGGCTCCTCGAGTACGCTCCACTACACAGGAGATGGTGGAGCCCTCCTCTGAAACCTGCCAGTAAAGGGAGTGGAAAGTGGTGTGGCTTCGTAAAATGTTCCAGAATCAAATACGTAAAACAATCACTTAGAGGAACTGAAGTAGTAAGGCATCCCATAATTTTCCTTGACTGCTTATTCAAAAATCATTTCATATTGAACTTAATAGTGAGTGGCCCACAAATGTGAAAGTATGATTGGGTAAGATGTCCTTTTTACAATTCAGCAATTAAGTATTACCAGCTCAGCAATTAGTTTAGGAAGATCCTGTTTGTCTGGTCATAATTTTAATTTAGATATAGGCAGTATTAAAGCAAGGCTAGATGCCTTTAGACTTCATTACAATGTCTTAGAGAAAGGTTTCCTGCAGGAATGCGGACTGGTCATACACCACCTGTTGCGTTAATTGATTTGGCTATCAGTAAAGTCATGAGGGCTATCTCTCTGAACAAGAGACCGCAGTTCTGCCCACCCAGGCGTGAAGACAAATTAAATATACATGGGGACATGGACCGTGCGAGGGAATAATATTACATTTACACAAATTGAGTAAAAAAATACAGGAAACAGATACTTCACAATAACGATATTTTCGAAGGCAAGCAGAGCTGTTTCCTTATAGCCTTACATCTGGGATGCAGGTCCCGGTAAATCCGAAGAGGCCATTGGCATTGTCACTCTTCAGGACTCGCAGTATGGCAGTGGGCCGGGGGTCCGGAAGGCGAGCTCCACCACGGACCGACACCAGCTGCAGGTAGAAGACCTCCTCAGCCTCTTCTTCCTGGTCATCCCGCACCTCCACCACAAACCCCTTGCGCTGCTCGTCCTGCCAGTATTCCAGGTAGCCTGACACATTGTGCAGGTCCATCTTAGCAGGCTGGCTGTGAAGCTCTCGGATCTGCACCCAGTCCAGCTTGCTGGAGTAGAGCCGCACGTCTTGCATTAGACCAGTGTAGAGTCCCTTTCCTTCAGGGTCTGATCCGATATGTACTGAAGCTTCACCTGAAATTACCAAAAAATGAATCCATTACATCAAAATCAAATAATAACATAAAATACATGTGATACTCCCTACCAAAAAGCACCATTTTCAATCTGAGATTTTGTGATACGGAATATAATATGGAAATATTAAATTACAAACACATAATCATCAAGGGAACAGTCTTGATTTGTAGGCAGCAAACGGTTATTCCAGACTACTGTAACAAATACTGCTTCTACACTTGTACCAATTTGACTATTTTAGGAAGTCCATGGAGCTTTGTGTTATGGAGATAAAGTGCCATTTATTCAATTTAGTGAGCATTACGCATCAGGAAATTAAACAACAGTGTAGCTAAGCAATGTTTCACAAATGGAAAAAACACTGGTTCTACTAGCAGAAATAGAAGAAAATGGCACAAGCATAATGCTTAAAAATATCCATAATTCTTTTATGGGAAAACAGGACAGACCACAGCTGTGTCAACTGCCTTAGCTTAACTGACAATGAAAATGACCTCGATCATGTTACTGTAATATTACTTAAATATGGCAATTCTGAATCATCTGAATCATCCGAATAAAACTGTAAATATAGTCCATTTCTATGGATGATGTTTGTTTTTCTTACCAGAAAACAGGTCGTAAACCCAATACCCTGAACCACTTCCTGAGGTATATGGCCTCAATGCAATTTGTAATTTCAGAATTTTGGATGCCACTCAGACAGAACTAGACTGAGTTTAAAACAACACCCTGAATGTTTTAATGAAAAATACTGGTGTTCTTATAGGATTTCATAATGGACGCATTACATCTAAAAGGATGAAAATACCATCTATTCTAGAATTAGTTGCAGGCAACCAGTTTCCATGCTAAGTCAAGGACAGAAACCAAGCTCAAAGGTTAAATACTCCTATGACTTCATAACGTCATAACAGAAAAGTGTTGCAATGTTTTGGGTAGCAGAATCAATACAGGGAAAGATCTCTCCAGTCAGCATTATATTAAACAATATAACAATTTTATATTAAACTGTGCCTTCTATGGGTGGCCAGTATTTTGCATAACCATTTTACACTTAGTCTTAAATCTTGGATTTTGCTTAGTTAATATTACCCCTAAATATAACTAAAACCAGTTTACGTTTTTGTGTGAGGAATTTTGTGCTATTATCTAAGCATTACTTAGATAATACAGAGGGATTTTAATCCAATTTTTACAGTAAAGAGAAGGATTATAGTTTGAGTGTGCTTCCTGGGATTTGGACCCACAACTTTTGTATTGTTAGGACAAAGAGATACTTATTGAGCTACAGGAACATATTTCTGTTTTATTAATTAAAACTGAAATGCCTTTGTAGCACGTCAGATCACTTAACCGTGGTTTCCTCGCCCTGGGCCTATAGAGCAAGTGGGACACAGCTGATAACTTCCTATGCAGGGTTTTAAATCCATGCTGTGAATAAGTCATGGAAGAAGGAAAAGGGAAGCCAGTCACACATGTGTGCTTCTGCAGGAGGATCCGGGACCCAGACTGAAGGGACTGCTGCCTCCTACCTGCTAGGGGAATACTGGAGGATGACCGCCCTGGAGGGACCCATAACAGACCCTCTTTTGTGTGGTGTCCCCTCATTCCCTCAGTAAACCTGGGGTGGGCTGAACCAGACAGCCTCGTCTGTCTGCTACAAATATACAGTATATGTACTAAGACTGGTGAAACAAACATCAAAAACTTTATTAGCAGAAAATGAAAAAGATGACTATGGCTATGGCTAGTGGTGGGAATTATCAGCATTTCAGGTCCATATTTAAAGTAAACACATGGGCTGTAACAGTATGTATCTTTGTTGTGGGCCTTTTGGTTACATTGTTTTTGGTCAGAATGAACAATGAAAAGAATGAATTAATACATTTTTTGACACAGGAACAACAAGGAAAACATAATGCTAATTGTGGCTGTGAGTCTGATTATGGCTCGTGCTGAAGAGCTCCAAGACCCTCCCATGTCACTTCAATCAGTAGTTTGGGAACATTTCGGTCTCCCAATAAATTACACCAACACTGGAAAGAGAATAGTTGATAAGACCAAGACTGTCTGTCTGCTCTCTTACTTCACACTTGGATGTTGCCAGAAACACATCCAACATGCTAACTCATCTGAGACAACATTATACTATTGTATGAAGCAATATTTTCCCGGAAATAATTGTGATAGAGGATATTATTTTTAATTATTTTTCCAAAGAGCAATGCACATTTAAAAATACATTGGAAATTCAGCTGAGAAAATAATGTGGGACAATTCAACACATCATATATGATTAAAATGTTATAGACTAATTCAGAGAAATTTAGAAAATGTTTTATCCAGAGGAATAATATGCAAATATTAAATAAGACATACAATGCACAGTCAATCTATTAGAATTTGTGAATTGGAATATCAAATAAATGTACATATTCGTATGACTCTGTTGGCTACTACAAGATATCGCAATGTGATGCTGTTGCCTATTTCTGTGGTTCAAGTTAATTGCACGAGAGGCCAAAAGATAAATAAATCAGAACTTAATCTAAGTAATATTTTGAAAACGTAATGGGAAGTACTTGACTTTTGTTTTTATTTAATCTCAGCTGGTTTCAGAGCCATATTTATAGTGGTGGTTTAGTTTTAGTTTTGATTTTATTTTTGTACCTTAATTCAGTTTATGAGAATGTTTTTGTTAATGATTATAACCCTGCCTTGCATACTGTATGTGCATAGTACACGGTTAGTTTTAACAAAATTCTTATTGATTCTTATAACATCCATACAACACTTCATGAGCATGACTTTTTAAAAGTAACTATTAAAAGACACTTTCACGCAAAGGATGAATCAGTCCTGAGCCGCACCCTTGACACAGACCAGAAGAGGGTAGAAACAGTGCAACTGGCTAACACTGAGGGCATTCATTCTTCTGCAAACAAATTTTGCCAATGTCGAGGTCAGACAAAAATATCGAGGTTATGTCCATATAACGTAATTATCGTGACCGGCCTACTTAATAGAGAGAACACGGGATCTTGTTCATTATGATTGTTATGCTTTTATTCTTTTTTTTTTTTGTTGGGATGGCACAGCGGTTGGCACTATTGCCTCATACCTCTGGAACCAGGGTTCAAGTCTCCACCATGGCTCCGTGTGTGGTTACAATGGATGGATGGTTGGATTTTTAGTGTGCAAATGAGCATCTCTTAGGTTTTGTTATTCCTACATTGACAGACACATTGTCTTACTGTAAACCAACTGTTCCTAATTGTATTTTCAGTTTTAATAATAAACAACTTGAAAACAAATTCTGTTTCCCTGCTGTACCAAAATGCACTGAACCATGAATACAAGCAGATAGCTACACTCATTTAAATGGACAACTAGTCCATGTTAAAATTTAATGTTTAAAAATTGATTTTGAACATCTTCTAAAATTCACCACATTGAAAAATCATGACTTGTAATTGAATCGATTGTTCCCCCCACCCCTGATATGATTGTTCCCCCCTTTACTGATATGACAACAGGACACTGAAAAATCAGAACAGTAAGAGCATTGAAACGCTGTAATCTGGTGCCAGGGAAGGCTTTTATGAATACTGTGGACAGTGAGTGAGATTAACAAGAGGGCATTTGATCAAATCAACCCAAAATATTTACTTGAAGCACAAATAACCAGAATAAATCTTATTTTGGGAATATTATAAGAAGATCAAGTGTATCGGGGAATGGCACCATGTTTGAAAGGAGGAAGATGACTAGAAGCAGGAGGAATTAAGTCACAACAATGAACATGCCACTGTGAAGCCTGGAGAATCAGACAAAATTCAGGACATCCATGGAAGGATGCCATCTACATTGACGTCAGCAGCTGACATTGACTAGATGGTACCTAAAATAATGCAAATGTATATGAGATATTTATTTATATTATACGTAAATTTTACACCACAGGAAATACCATTATTAAGTTCAATTTCATAAACTACCAGTTGGAAATGATAACTGTAAATACTATATAAACAGACGTTAAGTTTTATGAGAGACTTACCATCAGTGATGGCCTCTCCTTTCAGACTTTTGATCCCACCAGGCATGGTATTTCCATTCAAGTAGAATTCAATAATGCCATCATCTACAGTTATGATGACTTGCAACCAAATATTATCCTCAACATATTTAGCAGCTGTGGACCTGGCGATTTGAGTGCTGTTGGATCCAACAGCATTGTAGTAGAGCATCAGTGTAACATGGGACTCGTTGGTGTGAATCTTGATACCATAATAGAAGGTTCCATTGTCTGTTCCCTTGGAAATAATAAATCCATCTGTGTTGGGCCTGGGTACCAGCCAGGCTGAGAAGGTGAAGTTGGATAGACTCTGGGTTTGTTGCAATTGATTATCAGTACTAATGGTACCATAGGCACCTTGAAAGCCTGGAAAAAACAGTGCATCTGTAGCAGAGTGGGGTCTTCTTGAGTGGGGTCGGAGTTCCACAGCCCTGGGGAATGATGCCATCAGTATGAGGTCCTGCATTGGTGGTAGACCAAGAGGAAACACATCTGACAAAATCTCCCATCCAACTCGCACATCCCCAAAAGTGCCTTGCTGTCGGAGGATGACGATTGTGGCAACATTTGACATATCCCCTTCGGAAAGCACATCTTCTGCTACTTCTAGGTCCAGACTCTGGTCATCAATTTCAAAGACGCCAAAGGGGTCATCATTGAAAGGAATAAGTACAGACACATTAAGGTTTGTTTCAGCCAGTCGACCACCTGGCCCGGGGAAGCCACCTGCAAAACAATGATGTTTTGACAAATCTGTTGTCATTGCTGTCATTTTTGTTAGACCTATGTACATTAAAACATGACAATACATTTCATCCTACGGTTTCCTTTAAGCTTAACAGACCTGACATCAAGAAAAAAGAGATAAGATGTTGAGAAGTTTGTAATTTGAAAATGATCAAATAATGTAAATAATCATTGGAATTACAACACTGAACTTGATTTTTGCAAATAGCATATTATAATTATCAGTATTGCGATTAATACATAATACTTAATAATATATTTTATTTGATTTACCTTTTATGTTAACAAGATTAAGAACAAAGTACTCATTAAACTCTGGTAGTTTGTCAGAGATGGCTTGCAAGGCGATGGGTTTTGTGACTTCTCCAGTGGTGAAAATGATGGATCCTGAGGTGATGATGAATTCTTGGCCTGGTTCTAAGACTGTGTTGTTGTCGGACAGTTCCCAGGAAACAGTGACATTGCCAAAATGTCCACGGCTTCTCAAAACACTGACAAGTAGAAGAATATAACCTGTAGTTCCCCATAAATATTATTTCATATATATAATTTGTTCAGCATAGTTAGTGATCATCATTAAAAAACTCATCGATATTTAAAAAAGTACAATCCTGGTTTATATACAAAATTTATAACATAAATTTAACCATTTAAAATTCAAAATACAGTACAGAAAAAATGAATGTTTTCAAATATTATTAGTGTCAAAAACATAATAAAAAAATACAACTGAAGGAAACAAACATAAACATGAATTGCGTAGAATGTTTCTTACTAGAAGTTGTTAGATTTTCCTTCTTCAACTTGTTTGACAACTTGTTCCAAAAAAAAGATACCATTGGCATCATCGTTCGCCTCAATTATCACGGTTGCTGTATCAGCACCATATACCACTGCATCACCTGCTCAAAAAATAATGATGACAATTTCCTTTACTAGCCTCAGACGTGTACATGAGTATTTAGTAAATCCTCTATTTGTCTATTTGTTACTCTAAGAAATGTGAAAAAAGGATCTGTCATTGAAACCACTTCAAAGGTAAAATGTATCACTTTACTGACACGTCTCCATTTTGGACACATACTAATTAGAAAATATTTAAGAAGATTTTGTTTTATGTTTTTATCAGACCATTTGAACTTTAAATTACATTTTATGGTAACATTTTCTATGAATGGCATGTCCGTAAGAATCTATGAACACATTCATAGCACATTATAATACATTCATAAGGCATTAACACATTATAGCCATGTTTATTGTACATAATGAATGCTTTATGAACCTCTCATCTATAGGCACTATAGATACCTTCATAATGCGGTACAAAGCATCCTTAATTCTTATACCAACCGTTATAATGCATTATGAAGGTATCTAGTGTCATAAGAGCCTGTGATAAAGTAATGTATGATCTATGTAATACCACAGCGCAACTTTCTGTGACATATCACACTGATTATCTAAATGCAAAAAATCATTTAAAAACATTGAACAGACCTGTGGCATTGTATAAAGTTATGTAAAACTCTTCGTCTGTTTCAGGTTCATCATCATCTTCAGTAGCTACTGAGATGTTCTTACTCCACTCGTCTATACCGAAAACCAGCGTTTCATTAATCTTTGGAATGAAGTCGCCAGATGATGTTCCACCATGTGTGACCACATACATCACTGTAGCAACAAAGTCAGCTGGTCCAGCTCTCGAAACTGTGAAGTTGGCCATTTCACCTTCTTGCACCCTAAGCAGAACAGGCTCTAAAAACACACACACACACAAATTACAGAAATAATGTCACAAATCATTTGTGATGGAAAGGTTAACGAAAAATTAAAACAATGCAATCACAAAAGCTAAAAAGTACCCTGCATAACTAGATGTATTTTACCTGCAAAATATATTGGATCATCATTTTTCAGAATCTGCAAGGTTGCATTCAATGAGTTTCCAAGTCGTGCGCCATTAGTGGCATTGAGGAGAATGACTGTGAATACTTCTGTGTATTCTGGTATCTTTTGGGAAAAATCTGCATTAGATATTTGATGTTTTCAAAACAAGCATTTAGAGGAAATTTGTCAATTACCTCTTCTTTAACAGAAAATCAATACAAACTAAGACCTGAGATATTTACAGTTTACAAAAGAAATCACCTGATCAGGAACAGAGAAGATTGTGAGGTTTTTGGAGAACTCCTTTTCTTTGAAAACAACAAGCCCTTGCACTGGAGAGATATCGTCCGATAAGTAGGGATCCAGGATCCAGAAAATGGACACTTCTCCAAACGTACCCCTGTTCCTCACAATTGGGAAGGATGCTGTCAGAGGACATGAAAAACATTTCAGAAAACAACTTGTCCAGAATGAGCAATATCTACTAAATATTCCACTGAGACATACAAGATTTCCTTAAATTTTCCTTCACTCCCACCTGAGAAAGATTCACTTCCTTTACTTTCCTTGATTGCCTCCACCATGCCAGGGAGGATAAACTCAATGACCCCAAAAGGGTCATCATTGCTTCGGACAGTGATATTGACCTCCCTGGCAGATCCCAGATGACTAGGAGGGGTACTGTGGCTACTGAGGATTACACAGAACATCTCATCTAGCTGTGAATACAAATAACATCTGTTAGTTGGATAAAATTACAGATATGGGTATTTCACTAATCCAACATTTGAATTATACAAATGACTTAAAATCATACAGAACTCCAAACAATTTTAATTTAGTACTCATTGTACCTGAAAGACCGTCAAGGTAGCAGCCAGATAAGCAAAATGTAACTACAACAAGAAGCCTACCTCAGGAATTCCATCAGGTCTGGCCACAAGTGCAACCACTACTTCCCTTTCTCCTGGATTAAATTCCAAGATCCCTGTGGCCCCATAGAATTCCGCATTGCCTGAGGGTATCACTTCATAACGGATAAGCTGCTTTAGCAATAGGCCCTGGGACCGAATTACCCTAAGCTCCACAGCCTCTCCCTCCTTATGATACAAGGCAAAAAATGGACAAAGCAAGAAAATGATGTGAAGGTGCTGAGGCAAAAGCCATGTGCATAGACTTAGAATGCCAGAATTTTGTCATGTTACAAAACTATGAATACATTTTAGATTTTCAAACTTACATTGATGAACCAAGGCCCTCGAGACTGCGGTGAGAACTCAAAGATTCCACCAGGGTCATCGTTCTCAATTATTACAATCTCTCTGCTCGTAAACCCTGGTTTCAGAATCTGGTTCTCCACATTGGTCCTGCGCAAATAACAGCCCAAGGAATATGATCAAACCCAAGTGCATGACATGACAACCAGCAAATGTTTTCAAGGCCTTTTTGAATATTTCTTTTTTATAGGTAGTGTGTCAGGAAATTCACTTGACTGAAAATGAAAAACCACTGTCTGGTCGACTGAAAATATATTTTTTAAATATTATATAATTTTCTGCAGATAACATAACAGTTTGTCCTGTGAACCCACCGGAATTAAAAAAAAAAAACTGTTGTAAATCTAGGTAATAATAATAATAATTAGTAAAAATAGTCTTATATAGTTATTACTGGAACTTTATTGTCAATAACCAAACATTTTCTGTGCCTGCTGATCAGACCTGTCCAATAGTTAAGAGGAATTTTTATTCAGTTTTATGAGTCACTGATGCAGAAATTCAGATCATTGTAATTTCAGTATATCTGCATGTCAATGGCTTTTATGTCTCAGAAATTTTTGCTGGAGGTCAAAGCGATGCTACTAGACTAGACATAACCTCATTCTGTGCTGCTTCTTACAAAATACACACAGGGACTCAATTTGCGACAAGGTCATAAGAGCGTGCTGTTGGCCAAATGTTGGCTCAAGTGGTTGGAGGCTTTGACAGATTGTGGCACGCTGCATCTTCCCAGCTCCCATCTCAGCAGGAGTGTTAACTTAGTCTGGCCTCAGCTAAGCAATGAAAGAGGGGAGAGACACTCCACAGGGGTGGAAGGAGCTCCACATAATTGGTAAATTAAAGACAAAAGTAAAACAGAGAAAAGCATTCCAAACAAATGCATTCAGCAAACTCACTGCATGCATACAAACACGGGTGTCTTTAGAGACAAGGATAAAGCCCTCAGTTAAATTAGGCACTACTCATAAAGAAGATTCACCCCCTGCTTGCACCCCTGCTCCGTCTTACACCCGCAAAACTGTCCCCAACACCCCAGCAAACCACAAGTGGGCTCTATTTAGACAAAGTCTTGATTCACAGCATACAAAAAGCCAAAACTCCACTTCTCCACTTACCCAAAGTACACTACAGACCTTGCTGTTTCTACCCTGATGGCAGGGTGCAGGCGAGAATAAGGGGGACATTCCCATGAACACTCATGAATAGCAACAAAATGGATCCATAAAAACAGGACAAACGCGAAAAGGCAATCCCCTGCCGTTTCCCCCTTACACCTTTATGCTGCATCTGCTACAAATTCCCACATGAGATACTTATAAGGGCAACTCCATGCAGAGGTCAGTTTAATGTTATATCTATAACACTGGTAAACTGTAATGCATTTTGAACTATGTAAATTAAGATATGCAAATTGACTGCAGACACTAAGCTTTTCCATGCACTGAGGCATTTTGAAGGTGATTCCTTAGTTCCTACTTATGGGAAGACACCCAATAGCCAGGTCAGTCTTTATGCTTAACAATGAGGATCTTTACCTAACGTGAGCCTATAGAGGATACTAAACATAAACATACATAGACTGCCACATAGCCATACAAAGGGTCCTGCTTCTAACACCTATACCTTGTTAGTGTCTAATTTGTGGAGCCAAAAGAGGTAACTGCAGTGCTACAAACAGAATATGGAGGTAATTTTGAAATAAAAATAAAACACACAGCACCTGTCCAGAGTGATGAGAATGGTCTCATTGATTTCAGGAATGCTGTCAGCTTTGATAGTGATGTTAATCGATGAATCACTTTGTCCGGACAGAAAAGTCACAGAACCATTAAATGGTCCAAGATCATTGGGGGTTACATCCTGACTATTCTGCCCTGTCGGTCGCAAACTCCAGAACACCACAGCTTGTCCATCTGTCCCATCGCGGTGTAAGGGAAGAGTAATCTGTGGAAAAAAGGCCCCTTGAACAAATCTAATAGCATTAAGATTGTAACAGAAATATATATGTATTATGTAAGACTAAATTATGTAGCATCAAAACTGATGGTTTGTCATACCAGAGTAATGTTGTCATCCTCTGGTTCATTCACAGTCACAGTCTGGTTGCTGATGAAACCTATTTCTCCATTTGCGATGTCTGAGGTGACAGTCAGGGTGATGTTCAGGGCACCAGCCAACCTGGGACTGATGGGTGGGATCGGGGGGCTGATATTAACTAGATCGACACTGTCCAGCTAGAGCAAGAAAACAACAGCAGTTTACCTACTTTTGTTCTAAATGCAGAAATGTTCACTTATAGGCTCATGCACCCAACACTAATGCCCTCATTATTTTTCAGTGTTATAATTAAATACATATAAACAAATTCATCAGGTTTTCATCACTTATGAACCAATTATATTCCCAGTAATTTGCATTCCACGTGGACACTGATTTCCAGTTTGTTTCTGTTTCCACCTCCATGATACCAACTAATTGCCCTTTTTGATACAGTCATAAATATGCTCCAGCTTAGTAGATGGCCTGTTTCTTTTTGTTGTGCCTCTAAAAGGCTTTCAATTAAATGTGAAGGAGCACTTTCATTTTGTACTTGTTTATTAGCCAGCCAGATGGAGGTTGTTTGTTTAGACAACTCCACAAAGCCTATGGCCACAGGCCAAGGACTTCATGTTCACAGCACTCACACATGCTAATTAAGAGCCACGTTTATCACGAAAAAAGCAATGTTTATTAATGAGGCTTGGTTTTCTGTGGTGCTTCTGTTTCAATGGCGGAAAAAAAATATTCTTGACCATGCAATAAAAATGCTACCCCTAACTCTCCCGTTGTTAACACTCACGGTTTAAAATCTTAAGGACAGTCCCTTTGCAGTATATATCAAAACCTTTTACAATCAATAAAGATGTGCATCTAATGGAGACAAATGAGACAGTGTTTTTAAGTCACGGTTCACCTGGATAAGAAAATGCGCCCCATTTTGAAGGAATGCATCATTTCGAATTGGCAAAGTGAGCTCTGCTTCTGATTGGGCTCCTGAGAAGGTCAGCCTGTTGCTGCGCGTGCCATTTAGGACCCCATCCCGAGCTCGGGTGGGATCCACAGGCCCAGCAGGGATGTAGAGAGCAGTGAAGCTCAGCTGGACATCCCCTAATGCGCCCTTGTCCCGTAAGAAACTCAGGGATAAGAAACGTCCCGCTGGCTGGCTCTGGATCCTCTGTTCCTTCATGGGATGGAAGCGAAAGAGGCCATACACGTCGTCACTGTCCTGAATGTAGAATACCATCTGCAACAGTGGGAGGCACAGACGTTCAAACACTTTTCACCACAAATACTGCTAAAGACATATTTTTGAAATTAAATATAATAATATCCATACATGCTACAGAAACTCATGGTCCTTTTACTGACGTGTTTATTGAATTTCCGATCAACATTTGATTATGAATATGATAGGACATTCCAATAAGAGATGCGCTGTGTTGGTGCCCAGCCCTAGAGAACAGATGGACTGCAGAGCTGTTGTCAGATAATTCATGCTGAAACACTTAGTCTCCACAGTCGTGCTTGATGTATACTTTAAGTGTCTTCAGTAAAAATTCTGGTTAGATCTTCCCACACACAATTAATTTAACACGAAGGAAAAAGGCTGTAAAGAATTCACAGACACAAGCAAACGTTCTCACAAGTCACTAGCTTTGGAGAGGTTAGAGTATTCTTTTCCCATTTGGATTATAATACAAGAAAAAACATCTCAATATCAGCATGGTATCTACCAGCTAATATCGTAAACCATTGCTGCAAATGTAGGTCTTTCCTAACCATATCCTCCCCCTGTTTCTGGTCTCTAGATTTGTGCTTTGCAAGTACAGTTATTAATGTAAGTAATAATTATAAATGTAATTGCACGTGGTTGATTTAGAGAATACCATATCATGACCGTAAACAGTATCCGAGCAGGCAATATCAGATTTTTACCAGACTTGTTAGTGTTGCTATGGATCTACTAAAATATTATAAAGCTTTTAATGTGGTTTGACTAGTTCGTGTTTATTGTTTGTTTGTCTTACAGAAAAAAGATTCTCACTCCAAATCTGCTAAAATATAAAGCAACAACACAGCGTGTTCATGAAGGCAGCCATGTTTGTTCTGAGATGTGTAGCTTGAACGGGAGATTGGTCGGACGCGACGTCACGCACCTCGGAATTTACAACTTCGGAGAGATAATCGAACGCATTATTAGACCTCCCCCAAAGTGCGTAGGCAGATCTGGTTTAAAGTATTAGCCAATGCCCAGGGTCAAATATGGCTTGTATTATCAGTCTCTATTAAATCGTACACCTTAAGTGTAACTGCCATCATGTTTGTCTTGGGGAATTAAACTAAGGCAGTTTTAATATATATTCATCTGTCTGCAGCCTATCCCAGAGAGAATGGCAGGGCAGGAGGCATAGTCATACAGTACATTACGGACAATTTAGAGACACAAATCCAAATTTTTTTTGGACTGTGGGGAAACTGGACAAAGCAGAAGAAAACCAAACAAACATGGGGAGAACAGGCACCACACACGTAGTAGGAAATCCCGCACCCCTGCAGGTTTGAGGCTCCATTACTAATCAGTGAGCCACAACGGCCAACTTCAGTATCTTCTTCCATATCTTCTACTATGATACAACATTCCTGGTCTTAGAGGAATGTCATACGAGGAAAGGTTATTTAAGCTAAATCTGTTCAGCCTCAAGCAAAGGAGACTGAGGGGGGGGACATGATCCAGGTCTATAAGATTCTAACAGGTTTGGATGCTGTTCAACCGAATAGTTACTTCAGCATTAGTTCAAATACAAGAACTCGTGG